TTCACCTCCAGAATAATACACTGTATAATCACCACTTCTTATTTCACCTTGTCCTTTCCACCGCACTTCGCTGACACCTAGAACAGACACCTCATTCTTCTGCATTTCCGTTTTCAAATTCTCCAATTTGCCTGCTTGATTCAAGGTCCTGACATTCCATGTTCCAATCATGTAGCCGTGATGTGCCTTCTGATCTTTGCACTTTTTCTTGTCGTAACGGCTGCATGACACTTCCTCTAGAAACACTCCCCCCCCCGGAGATCCGATTGGGGGAGTAGTTTACCTCCGAATTGTTTTGTCTCCAGAGGAAACATCTTGCATACATGGTATCTCTGTTTTTGGAAAGAGACTATCCAGGAAAAGTGATAATGTGGTAGTTTTTCCATTTTTTTTCCACATTGCAGTACAACAGCCATCCAAACCACTCTGGTCATGCCTGTTGCTATATGAACTTGAACCATCTTGAGCATCATTTGCTCTGTGCTTCAAGTCGCTGCTGATGACGCTGCTTCCAGCATCAGTTTTTGGTTTTTGGTCTCTCTCTTCATCTGATGCCTACCCTTTGACCTGTCCAGCAAGGGAGGCCCTGCCAGTAGTTATGCTACCGCTGGTATAGCTCTCAGGGTCCTTGGCATACTCAAACCTCCTCACCACGATAAGGTGGAGACACCAACGAGATGGCTAACTTCTATTAATTAAAAAAAAATTTAGAGCCTTCTGGAACATTATGAGTTGGTGATTTAAGATATTCTTCAGAACCTAGAGCAGCCTCTTGTAAGAAATCTTCAGTTGAACACCAAAAAAACTGAAAGAAGTAACAATGCAGATATTACCTTCCTACAAGAACTAAGTATCAATAATATACCTGAAGGAAACACAGTGGTTTCAATTTTCCCATCTGACAGCGTGGAACAAAATTTACTGAATCAGAAAGGAAACATTACTCACTTACTTATGGAGCTGGGCCCTTCTTGAGGAGAAGCCAAATCTGCAGCTACTCAAGAATTTTCCAGCATTATATGGAACCCAAAGGTTCATTACTGTGTTCACAAGAACCCTCCACAGGTCCCTACCGAGAGCCAGATCAATCCAATCCATACCATCCCATCCTATCTGTCTAAGACCTGTTTTAATATTGTCCACCCCTCTACACCTTGGTCTTCCCAGTGGTATCTTTCCTTCTGACTTTGCCACCAATATCGATATGCAGTCCTTTTCTCCCCCATTCATGCTACATGCCCTGCTCACCTCATCCTCCATGACTTTATCATTCTAATTATACTTGGAGAAGAGTATAAGTTATGAAGCTCCTCATTATGTAGTTTTCTTCAACCTCCTGTCACTTCATCCCTCTTTGGTCCAAACACCCTCAGTCTATGTTCCTCCCTTAATGTCAGACACCAAGTTTCACACACATACAGAACCACAGGCAAAATTATAGTTTTGTATATTCTAATTTTTATGTTTTTGGACAACAGATGAGAAGACAAAAGGTTCTGGACTGAATGGTAGCAAGCATTTCCCGAGTTCAGTCGCCTCTTAATTTCCTCCTGAATCAGCTTGTGATCTGTTATCATTGTTCCCAAATATCTGAACTGTGCCACATTTTCAAAACATCTGTTTCCTATCTTTATGTCATGATTTTGCCCTGCATTTTGGTGACAAGACAGTAACATATACTTAGTTTTCTCTGTGTTTACATCTAGACCAACCTCCTTACTTGCATCAATTAAGACTTGTGTGTTTTTCTTTATGGTATCTATATTATCACCCAGTAGATTCACATCATCAGCATAGACCAGCAGCTGATGTGTCCCATTTAATTTCAGTCCCACCTGATTTTCCTGGATGTTCCTAATGGCATATTGTAGAGGAAAGTTGAAAAGGAGTGGTGATAAAGCATCTCCTTGTCTTAGACCATTCTGGAAAGGAAATTTATCAGACAACTGTTTTCGTATATGGACTTTACCATATGTTTCGCTTAAACACATTTTAATCAGCTAAACTAGTTTCATGGGTATCCCAAACTCTATCAGATTATTGTATAATATTTCCCTCCTAACTGAATCATAGGCTTTCTTGAAGTCTACAAATAGCTGATGTACTGTCTCATTGTACTCCCAATTTTTCGTCAATATCTGACGAATGCAAAAGATCTGATTTGTAGTTGATCTGTTATGTCGAAACCCACACTGATGATCCCCAATAATTTCATCTATATATGGATTTAACCTTGAGAGAAGAATATTGGATAACATTTTGTATGAAGTTGAAAGCAGTGATATCCCCCGATAATTACACTCAGTTTTATCACCATTTTGATGAATACCTGGCGATTTATACCTTTTCAGTTATGCAATAGCACTTCCAACCTCAAAAGGGCTCGGATCAGATATTAACGGCTCAGCTGTATGCATTTCTATCTGCCTCACATCACTGACACTATGTACATTCAATAACTGAGAGAAGTAGTTCTTCCACCTATTCAAAATGTGGGAATCTGCAAGCAGATCACCATTCTCATCCTTCACTAAGTTACTTCTAGGTTGGTAACCCCTCTTAAAGTCTTTTAATCCTCTATAAAGGTCTCTAATATTCTAGTTCTTACTGTTCATTGCAAGGTCATCAGTTTTGCCTTTCAGATATTCCCTTTTTTATTCCTGAAATGCCTGCTGGTATGCATATAATCTGTCTGTAATCAGTGCATTGCATTATTTTTTATTTACAGTTTAATATACCTTTTTCTTCTTTTTTAAGATGCTTCTCTCCAACATCAACTCTAACAATACTTCTGTGATCCATTTGGATGTTTCTGAAGTAAAGATTGTAACTGACAGTGACCATGATGATTCAGTGGGAGACAATTTAGAAGCAGAAATCAGTAAATTGGAAGCAACTATACGTGACTTAGAAACAGATAATGACTTTCCAGACATAGATAGCTGTGCATATGAGTTAGAAGAAGATGAAATATTAAATCCTGTTATATACAATTCTGATGATGCTTCTAACACCATTTTGAATACTGTAAGCCACAAGGAAGAGGACGAACCAAATACTTCTATTACTTTAGAAGGAATTTTAGAACCTTCTGAAACATTAGAAGTTAGTGATTTAAGATATTCTTCAGAACCTAGAACAGCCTCTTTTCAGAAATCTTCAGTTGAACACCAAAAATTTGAAAGAAGCATCAAAGCAGATGTTACCCTCTTACAAGAACTAAAAATTCATAATGAAGATATGACTAATTCCATAAAGTCTGTGATAATTTCAAATAATTGTGATGAAGTGTCCCTTAGATCACAAGATTGTGAGCTTAGTACAAATGATGCTATGGTACATTTAAATTCAGTTAATAAATCTGGTATGGAATTTTCATGTACAACTCACCATGGCACAAATGCTGAGAAAAACAAAACTTGTTCTCTTCTCATGAATAAAAACAGTAACAGTGCTGTAGCAAGAAATTCATCATTTGAGAATGGAAATGACAATGTGCCTCAGGAATCACACTTGCAGGTAGATGCATCAGAATTTGAAGATGAGCTGTCATATCCTGAAGATGCTGAAGTTGATGACAGTAATGATGTTACTTGCCGTTCTGATGTAATTGAAGATAGTGAACCCATGATTTCAAGTACACCACTAAGGATCAAAACTGGGACCCTGAAACGATGGAAACCAGTATTCTTACGTTGTGAAGAAAGTTTTCTAGTTTTAGACGAGTTTGGAGAATCCAGTGACCAGGACGGGTCTCTATGTAGCTACATCAATTCATCAGTGCAGAATATGTCAATTGAGAGTGTTGCTGCTACACACAGCACAGAACCTACATGTTTTACACATAATAGCTTGTTTCTCAAAGTAAAGGAAGACAGTAGTATAGATGATGTAAACGTAAAAGGCAGTAATAATATGAAGCAAATAAAAGTTGCACTTGATGATGCCAGGGATCAGAAAATTGTTGTAAAGGTGGGTGATGAAGCAATTGACGATTGCTTACGATTATCATCTTGTGCAGGGCCACTGCCAGTCTTGGCAAATGCCACTCCTGTTCAGGGCCATGGAATACAAGAAATTGTTCCTGTGATGAAAGCCAAAAACACAGACAAAGTGAACTGGGAAACCAGAGACTTTGAATCTTTGGCCAACTTGTGTATTGATCAGGTAAACTCAGGCAGTAAAGCAGTTACGAGAACAGTCACAGACTTTGGTGGGAACAGTACCAATAATATACCTGAAGGAAACACGTTGGTTTCAAGTTCCCTATCTGACAGGGTGGAACAAAATTTACTGGATCAGAAACAAAACATAACATCAAAAGTTAATGAAGATTATGTCAGTAATAATCCTCAAGAAAATTATGACAATAACAATCCAGATTGGGAACTACTCCGTAAATTAGAAACAGATGAGGAACGGTATCGTGCAATGAGACAGCGTTGGAGAAATCTTACTACTCCAAATCCAAACCAAGATTTGACATACCGTAATTGGAGGATTCATCAGAAAGCTAATAAACTGACAAAATCTGCTGCTCAAACAAGTAACTATGCCATCATTCAGCAGACACGTGCAAGTGATAGTGGTGCCTCTGTTAGCATGCAGGACCACCATAAAAGAACTCTATCTGATGAACAGGCAAGCATTGACCATCAACCCAGAATGAAACATTCCCGAACTCAGTCCTGTACAGCTGTATATGACAAAAAATTGGAACAACTTCGAAAAAACATACAGCATGAGAAGCAGCAAATTTATGATCAAGAACATGCTGCCCTTATACGGCTAAATATGAAACAAACCCAGGAGATGAATTATTTGCAGAATTTCTGTCGCACATATGGCAACATTGAACAGATTCGCTGGTTGTATTACCAACAGAAGTGGGTAGGTAACTACAGATGTGGTTTCTCTTAAATTAATAAGTCTTCTAATTGATTTTTAAATTAATTGTGTGCTCAAATAGTTTAGAATTTCAACATCTTGAGCCCTGCTTAGTATACAGCTGTATGATCATGTTATTCACTTATAATATTAATTATGGACCTACTTTAATAAAATAATTTAAGGAATGAATTCACATTACTCCAAAATGTCGTACTGGGCAATGTAGTATATGATTTTGCATCTGAAACTATTTATGGCATCTAGCACATCTTGTGGATGAAGTGGGTAGGCAGGCAAGTACACTTGTAACTCTGCCTACTTGTTTTCCAAGAGTGATGCGCAACCACTGCCACAGTTATGAGTTCCCAACAATACCCTAAGCTTTTACATAGCATGTCCACAAAGTAAGTTTCCCACTTGTCCCATAGCTAGCAAATCTTATATTGCGCGAAGTGACTGTGCGTATGTGATAGAGCAATGACGTAGCATGGCACATGCACTAACAGAATTTCCCACATTCCCACAGTAACATCGTTGTAGCTGTTGAAGATAGAGGCTCTTATTCCAGCTCCCGCCAACTGTGAAGTGCGGTCAGTGTTTTTGAATGCACAGAGCATAGCGCCAATTGAAATTCATTGTCAGCTGTGCCGGATCTATGGGCCTAACGTCATGAGCAAGCAGATGGTGCATCGCTGGTGCAGACAGTTTTCAGCAGTTCGACAAAGTGTGCATGATGAGAAGTGCAGTGGGCGGCCATCCATCATTACAGACGACCTGGTGGAGCTTGTGCGGGAATGCATTATGGAGAATCGTCGTGTCACAATTACGGAATTCAGCAGTCATGTCCCACAGAGTTCTTGCTCCTTGTTGCACGAAATTGTCACGGAGCACCTGTTGTTCAGGAAATTGTGCACCAGGTGGGTGCCGAAGCAACTGACACCAGAACACAAAACAAAGCGCATGGAGTCAGCATTGACATTTCTGCAGCAGTACCATGATGACGGCGACAAGTTTCTGGACCGGATCATCACAGGTGATGAAATGTGGATTGCACACATTACCCCAGAAACCAAGCAGCAGTCAATGCACTGGCGTCACAGTGGATCTCCCTGTAAGACGAAATTCAAGCAGACGTCGGCGCGGAAAGTGATGTGCGCTGTATTCTGGGACAGACGGGGTGTTCTCCACGTCGACTTCCTGACCAGAGGTGAGACGATGAATGCTGAGCGTTACTGTGAAACACTGCAGAAATTGTGATGGGCCATTCAGAATGAGTGGCGCGGGATGTTTAGTGCCGGTATTGTCTTCCTGCACGATAAAGCTAGGCCGCACATGGCTCGGCGGACAGCAAGTCTCCAAGTCTCCTGCAGGAGTTCAGCTGGGAGGTGTTTAATCATCCGCCCTACAGCCCGGACCTCCCTCCCAGTGATTTCCATCTTTTCCTACACCTCAAGAAATTCCTGTCCGGTGAGCGTCAGCATTTTGAGAATAACAGAGAGGCGGAGATGGTTGTCACACAGTGGTTCCAATCCCAGGCGGCAGACTTCTACGACACAGGTATTCAAAAGTTGATCCCACGGTATGACAAATGTCTAAATTCCGGTGGCGATTATGTTGAAAAATAGTTGAACACTTGCTGTATCTGTTGAAATAAATATTTCCATGAAATTGTTTTTTGTTTCTGTAAACAGCCCCAGGGAAACTTACTTTGTGGCCGAGCCTCGTACCTTGTCCTCATCAGAACTTGCTTAGGACTCAGTTTTGAGATGCTGAGAGTAAATCCATGTGACTTTTAATGGTAGGCTGCCCCTCAGTGCTTGTATGTACATAAAATAAAATTCCCTTCTGTAAGTAGTGCACTTCAAATGTAGAAGCTGAGACTACCCACTGTGACCACATCTCATTTCTGCATCCTTGTTTCAGAGATGATACAGTGACAAGAACTTTGTATGAAAAGTGAATGATAAGACCCAGGACTTTATTATGTGATAAGTAGACATGTTTCTAGAGTTTCCGCATATAAATTTTCTCTATTACTGTATAAACTTTTTAATCCTAGCTTCACAGAGGCTTTTGAAAGCAACTGAAAGAAATAACAGACATCTTGTCTCACAGTAACCGAGTGGCCAATAGATTAATTTACCAACTGACTGACTCACCAACTTACACTAATATTCCGAATCACAGTACATGCTCTTCCTTGTGCAGTTGACAGTTGCTCACATTATCCAGTATAATGGTACACTCCTAATTTTTACTTGTAATACAATTCCTTGCTGTTGCTAGAAATTGCTGAGTCCTAATTATGGATTAAGAAAGTAGCGGAAGTGTTCACAAGCCTGGTTCCTCATAGTGTTTTATTGTGTTTTGGGTTTTTGTGGCCAGATACATGTTGCAGACAGTTCAATCTTTTTACAATAAACATGGCCCAGTCAGTACTGCAGGTTTGCTTCAAACACAGCTATATGGCAGCTCCTCCTGGAATGTGTTCAGTGCTTTTTCCCCGCATCTCCAATATTCTCATGAACGTTGACATCAGTTGTACAAGTTGCACAGTGTACAAGTTCCAGCATCATCAGGAACAGATTTCCAGTTTTCATAGAAACTGCACACTATTCCCACACCCCGTATTGTGACAGGAGTTTTGTCCTTGAGCAGTGGAATGGTCACTGATGACTTTCAGCCGTAAACCGCTATCAGAAATAAGGAAATTCAGAGAGATACAGTTGATATATATATTCATGCTGCATTGTAATCTTGAGTAACAAAATCAACTGAATGTTGGAAGTTCCATACAGGGATGTTATATACAACACTATTCTGACAACGATTCATCTTATATCATTGGTAATGAAGACCTATATTTATATATAATAGGAATTGCAGATTTTTTGCATCATTAGGAGATGCATTATTGTAGTAAATCTTGTTCGGCCTTTTTTTAACCACATTTCTGCTACAGCTATCCAGCTTTCTATGCCTCCTCTTTTCACAAACTTCAGATCTACCTTCCATCTGTAAGGATAAACAATGAATACTGTACAATGTATGATGGCCAGTAGACCAGAAGGAAGCAATGATTACAGCATTATAACTTTCAGCACACACTTTCATCCACAAGGAGTACTGCTATCAAACTGTTGCCAGGAACGCAACTTAGAAATGGTGTATACAGTAAAACCCCCATTTAATGTTTCTTTTAGGTACAGTGGGTTTGAACACTAAATTAAGGAAAATGTTGACTGGAGGTAAATTAGCATGGACATTACTGCTTTTGGATCTCTGAAACTGAACATTAAATGAGGGACAACCTTACACCAATGAAAATTGAATAGGGATTCACTGTATTACATATGTCTAAAATAAATTTGCCACACAGTAGCTAGTAGTAGTAGTAGCAGTGCAGGTGTCTGTGTGAGGCAGGCCACCACTACTGAAAATGTTTCATTGTCGGGTTACCTCAACAATTCGGAATTACCTTTACCACTCTTCGACAACGCGTCGGAAATGAACCCTGTTTTGCACCTCAAGCGATTAGACGAATTCATTCATTTCCGGAACGTTCCAAAGTCACTTTGTTTGGCAATCGCGTGCCGTTCCCTAGTGGGACACTTAAGCAAACAGTGGATCGAGGCAGTAGTACACAAACTGCCCGACTACGAGGCGTTCAAGAAGGCATTTTTGGACGTCTGGTGGTCCATAGCGAAGCAGTCTTTAGTCAAATGTACTCTATATCAGACGAAGTACGATCGACGATCCGGTTTAAGTCTAAGTGGACACTTCCTTAAACATGTGAATATGGCAGCTTATCTAGACCCAAGGATTTGAAGTGGTGTGGCACTAAAATACTTTTTTCCCTGGCATCCTTCAAATAAGCATCATGTTTTAAAAAGTTGCTAAGAACTGGAGAAATGCAAATGCATTTTTTCATCAGTTCAGAACTTCCATGCTTAGAGAACAGCTACATAAATTATATGAATGTGGAAATTATTTTATTAAATATGACTATAAATCAGGAAAGTAGATGCAATGATGATTTTTCAGGCAATCAACCAGTAAAGATGGAGTTAGTATCTAACATTTCAGAGACTCTACTCTCCACCATCAGGAGTTGATGTGGCTACATGTCACTGCAGACAATCGAACAAATAGTAGAATCAGACCTTCAATAATGTCCTGTTCTGAAGCAGACTACTGAGGGAATGGTGGGCAGACACATGCTGTGATCCCAATCTGTAGTGCAGTCTGTGAATACTCCAGCATACTAGCTGTGGTGGTCCTTCACATCAGTATTTTTTATGGTTCTCCATTGTTTAACACTTTGCGGACCTTGCACCCTTTAAAAGGTTTTTCGCTTTTAAACATGGCGGACCGTTCGCGTGTTAACAGGCTTTTAGAACACGATAAGTTGCAACACACTATACATCGCTCTGGCGCCACCTACATTGCACACACCCACCTCCAGATGTGTGATAAGACTCTGGAATGTTTAGTTAGCAGTCAGTAACATGACCTTGCTGTTTACTTAACCGACTATAAAGGAAAATGCTTTGCCTTCTTCAAGCTGTGTGTATCAGCCAGTAGCTAGTAGGGAGAATGGATCAAGGACAAATTCTCCTCCGATGACCTAGCTGACCTGCCTTGTGAGACGCGTAGTAATGGATTGTCATTCAGACAGCGACAGTGATGGGGGACAACAAAGAATTGTGGCCACAGACAGTAAAAGTGACAGTAGCTCNTTCTGTGTAATGCCACTTCACAAAGGGGAAAGTTTCCAGAAATATCACACCCTCAAGCACTTCTAGGAGCATTGGTAAGTGTTCTCCAAAAATTTTAGTTCAAAAAATGAATTAGGAGATTTTATATTAATTTTTAAAGTGAACAGTGCACAAGTTAGGGTAGTATGTTTAAAAATGCCGGTCCCCAGGGTGATTTAAATATTTAAATCACTGGTTCGCGAAGTGTTAAACATGTTCCCCCAGCAGTCCAGTCTGGGGGATGGGACATTACAGAAATCCCAACTCCACCTCCATTCCCTTAGCAGTATGCACTGGTTCGCTAAAAGCATACTCTGTGAGTATATTTACAATGTGTGGTCATGCTACTTACCACATCAACCCTTGATGATGGACAGAAATCGTCTCCAAAATGGATATTAATTCCACCTTTGTATGTGTGACAGCCTGAAAAGACTTCATCACCTATGGTCGCTGTGAAAGGTTTAAATCATACATAGGAAAGTATATGTTGAGTTTGGTCCAGGTTGTTTAAGGCAGTAAACGAAATATGACTAATGGTGTTTATCACTAATATGCCCTTTATTATCTTATTAGAAAAGTTTTTCTCTCTGTCTCAGGATGTGGAACAGGTCCAGAAGAAATTTGATGAAGCACGTCTTGCTGTTGATAGAGCAAACTTAAGTCAAGTTCAGATTCTGGAAAAAGCATGTGAAGAAGTGCAAGCATTTCACAAGTTTTACCAAGGATTGGATCATGACTCTGATGCAGATGCTTTGTTCCTTTCAGAATCACAGTTGGAAGAATTATGGGAAACAGAACGTCTCTATGATCAGTATGGCAAATTTTATTCTGCTTAAGGACATCATAATAACAAAGCACAAATGTCTTTGTATGCCACTGTCAGTTCTCTCTTATGTGCACTTAATCTTTTAACAGTGATGGCTGATATATATTTACATTTTCTTAAACACAAATCAATGCATTATGCCACATCCTATTGAACATGGGACTCATGTTCAGTAAGATATATGGCATGACAATTCATTATGTTCAAGTAGTGTATTGTACCACCCGAGGATGACCCAACAGTAGGCTCAAAATATGTAATGGATTAAATACATGTTAATACCAGAAATATGAATTGACGGTCTTCAGTAGAATTTCTACTAAGACTGATAAACTTGAACATCTTAAAGTACTGGCCATTTTGAGAGCTCAAGTTTGTACATACCTACTTGCATAATTATAGGATGGCTTCTTACTAATCATTTCAGTTGTCTTCTGCCACTCACACAGTACTTTACAGTTCATATACAGCAGGATATTTAGCACTTCCTCACTTAGCAGTCAGCATGCAGGGAGTAGCCAGTAAGGTCACAGCATGCTCCCAGATAAGCTAATGAAGGTTCACATACTTTATTTACTATGATATTAGGGTAGCTGCTGAAAGTGATGTACTCAAACATATGTGCACATTTCACAGTGACAGTACTTTTGAGACATTCTGAAAATTATATATGATTTCTAGAATAATATTTTGGATATTGATGTGTAAGGTCTCCAAGTGTATTACTCCTGTAGACTTTGTCTTTCAAATTTCCATTGAAAGAATCACAAATATTCAAGTCTGAGGATCATCCTCTATTGATTATTCATTCATTGAACATACTTCATTGTTCCAACACTGAATATTTTATTGTGTTTGCTTGTAAGGTGTTCTTGCTGAAAATATGCTTAGCTTTTTCTTTTTCAGTTAATTCTTCAAAGGGCTCCAGAATATTATTCACTTAATGCTCCAAATTAACAGTATCATGAAAGAATGTGGGACCTATGATTCTTTTAGCATTTTTACCTTTTCATTCTGGAATGGGATCTGATGAATAGCATGATGATTATAATATGATTTCTTTCTAATAAAATTCTGAAAAAGAAACATGTGCACATTGTGGTTGGACACATACGAACAGAATGCTCACAGCTGATTGGTTGGTTACAGAGCTAATGATCAGGGACTGCACTGCACACATTATCTTATAACAAACTGAGTCATATATATAAGCAACTTTGGCTTTCAAAATTAAAACTCTCTAACTGAAATCCATCAGAATTTTTTAATTTGTTTATAGTGGAAATTTGATATTGAATATCCACAATTTCTTAAAATACAGTAAAATCTTATTACTGTGAATTCAGGAAACCTAAAAATAAGTCTCAATAAAAAGAGCTGAATTACCCAAATTAAAACTGTGTATAAGGCACAATACTCAAACACATCACCAAGTATTTCTGAGGGAAATATATCTGTACAGCACATACACAAACAAATATTACCATTATATAACTGCACATATTGATTCAATTCTTGGGTCTTTACACAGAATGTGGGCAGCATCACCAATATGTGCAGGTACATAGCCTATATTCAGGACTGAAGTGTAAAGACATCAGATCCTATCAACATGAACCACCGTGAATGCTTAAAATCAGTAATAATGTACGAGGGTCACACTGAAAGTCATGAGCAACAATTTTTGTAAAGTAACATGCTTTATTATTGACAAACCAAATACACCACCTCAATCTACAGACCTTTCTTTATTTTTCCACATAATTGCCACTTCTTTGTACAAATTTCTTCCAGCATTCTGGGAGTTTGAAAATTCCCCTTCTGTAAAATTCCATTCCAGCCATCCAAAGACACTGACGCACTGCTTTCAGAATTGCCTCCCTTGTCTCAAAACGTTGTCCATGAAGCTTATCCTTCACAAATCCGAAAAGATGGTAGTCGGAGGGTGCCAGATCAGGACTACAGGAGGGGTGTGGAAGAACTTCCCACCCCATCTTTGCAATTGCGGGACCCAACGAGCACAAACTTTCCTATAGCCCAAGCTTTCAATCATCTCCTGTACTGCACTGTGCCCTATTCCAAGTTTTCGGGCTATTGTGTCCAGAGTGATACGCCTGTCATCTTGAATGATCTCATCCACTATTTCCTTGTTGCATTCGGTTGAGGCTGTTCGAGGATGACCGCTCCGAGGCTCATCTTCGATGCTGGTGTTCCCATCTTTAAAACGTTTCACCCATCTTCGAACACTGTTCGCACCCATACACACATTTCCATAAGCACGCTGAAGTCTCTGGTGAATTTCTGCAGCAGGGATTTCCTCTTTCACAAGAAATTTGATGACAGCATGCTGGCGAAAGGACATATTGTTGTTGGCCATTTTGTTAGGAGTGATACTGGTCACACGATGCAAGCTATTGACATCACAGGACACTCCTACACTCCTACACACCTACCACCATACTCTCTTTCATCTGCTGTTCCCAGGTTGCATGCAAAAAAAAGTTGCTCATGACTTTCGGTACGACCTACATACATACACAGAATATGATACTCATATTATTCTCAATTAAGTATTTGCTTAATAACTCAATAAAATTTCAGTCAGTAGAACATAGCAAGAATAAATGAGAGGAAAATACTAGCACATACTTTTTTGGTTGCGCATATACAACAAAATGTTTGCAAGGACATGGTTCATATGAACAGTTTCATTTATGACACACTATTTTGCTATCTTATGTAGTTTTTAAACACACTTCTTTTATTAGGGGAAAAAAAGGGAATTCTGATAGTATTGTTAAAACTGCTTCCCCGTTTCAAGAGTTTCAAATCTTGTGCTAATATCATATTTGTCCTTCTAGTATATAAATATTACATGCACTTGCTGTTCTGAGCTTAATGTTGCTGCTAGTGGCAACCATAGTGGTAAAAGGAAGAACTACACACTGACACTGCTGCAAGTAGAGAATATATGACAGTGAAGGGAGAAACTAATACATGTGTAAATAAACTGCATATACAAAAGAAAAACATGCACAATCTGAAGCAAATAACGTGATTAATTCTGAGAGCATATGATGGTGGAATGAGGAACTGTAACAGCATATGTAAATAAATATACATTCATTCATTCATTCATTCATCAGTAATCTGTCAAGACGACAGGTGCGCAGTCTCTTCCAAAACAGTTCCTCCACTTGATGCGATCTAGAGCAGCTTTCTCCTTCAAATGAAAATATTCTCTTCTGTCCCCAAGGTCATCCAGCATCTTCTTACGTCTTCTGGTCACTTCTATCCGCCCCTCTATCTTTCCTTCAGTAACTTCTTTTAGAAGGCAGTTACTGCATAATGTATGACCAATCCAATTAGCCTTCCGTTTTCTTATTTCAAAATATACATAAATGAAATAAAAGTGCAAAACTTATTAAAAAATCTGTTCATTCTGAGAGCATACAATGGTGAAGAGAGTAACTTCCACATGTATATAAAGAAAAGACTGTAACAGATCTTTGATATGTAAGCAACTTTTTAAAGGTAGTTTAATTTTACAAATGTAAAATAATGCAGCAGCTGTGTAAAAACATTCATTTAGCATTCATCTTTGACCACAATGGCTAATGGACAACAGGAGCTAACATTAGCATGAAAAATGTACATGTTCTACCCAGTTCTCCCCACACCTTCCTATAAATATTGCCTTTACCATATTTCAATTTTGTTTTTCTTTTTAAGAAGGTAAAGAACTGCTTATTAGTAAATCACTGTGTGTGGTCCCATTTTTTGGCTTGTGATATGAAATAATACATAAAAACTTTGGTTCTGTTATTATCAATATAGAAATTGTTTCAAGGAAACACCATTATGTTAAAGAATACATTTTGTATACTGTGGGGCCTCATATTTTGTTTGTATAATTCTTATATCATTTTATGAAAACTAATTTTAAGGTTTTGTCCTAGTTGTGCAAATGTATAGTGTGACTTAACTATACTTCTTTGTTTCTTCTTTCAAGTTTTTAAACCATTATACATGCAGTGTATTTTTAATTTTCATTTCATTGTTATACAGTTTCACCCAATTTATATATATAATAGCATTGCCCTCAATTGTAATTTTTTTTATATTACTTAAATATCAATCAGAATTACAGTATCCTATAAGCTATTGTGATAAAATTGGGCTAATAAGCCTGCGTATGGCAGGATGAGGATGCTTCCACCGAAGGAGCCTCCGTTTTTCACTTGAGGTCAATTGGAAGACGCCTTTTCAATCGTCTGCTTTTGGGTTCTTCCAGTAGTGGCTGCATCAATGGATTGATGTGCATCTCTAGTCGATCATGGTGTTTGCTACTACACTCTTGGATTACATCAGAGATCAATTGTATATGAGAAATAACTTTTTTATTGGATCTAATTAAAGTGAACACACAAAAGTGGCAGTCAGGAAATCTGTATTATTTGTTTGAGCAACCACTACACTCTACTTTCTGTGTTACATTATTTCCCAGTGAAATAATGTAAGTATGAAGCATCTCACCTTATAATTTATTTATATTAATGTTCTGCCATTATGCATCATTAAATTTGCCAATGTTTTTCTCTTTGCGGTTGACACCAGTACTTTGGTCACTGGAAAAAAATTATTGTGCGCTTAAGTACAAAGCTGCAGATACCTTGTTTCTCATTGTAAATTGGTTTATAGCGAAAAAGTTGATCTTAAATATTAACAAAACTAATAGTATTAATTTTGCTCCTAAACAGTCTGCTGTTTGCTGGCAGTATCCTTTGGAAATGTAATGAATGTAACCCTTGTAATAAATTTTTTGGGAATACAAATTGATAATAAATTGAATTCAAAGAGTCATGTGGAATACATCCTTCTTAAAATCAGTGTTGCTATTTTTGTAATTAGGAGTTTAACTTATTTTATGAATTTTAAAACCCCGTGAATGGTGTATTTTTCTTACTTTCATTCTATTATTGAGTATGGAATAGTTTTCTGGGGTAATTCAACTAATAATTCTAGAGTTTCTAAATTACAAAAAAAAATTATAAGGATCATATTGGGAGTGGGACCCAGAGACTCATGTAGAAGTCTTTTTAAGAAACTAAGATATTTTACCATTGTCATGTGAATATATTTTTCCTTGATATTGTTTCTGATAGATAATCAAACCAATTTCTGTTCAGGTTCAGAGGTTCATGGCCTGAACACTAGAAGCAAAAATCAAATTTATATTCCAACTTCAAATATTTCTCTTTTCCAGAAGGGCACTATGTTTATAGGTATTCGGTTATTTAATAGATTGCAAAAGACCATTTAAAGTCTTAGAAAAGATAGAAGCAGTTTTAAAAATAATCTATTTTCATATCTCATGAATAACTCATTTTATACAGTTCATGAATTTCTTAAGCATACAGTAAATAATTAATTAGTTTAGCTTTTTATTGTGTTTCTGCTTTGTTTGTTAGTGTTATGCTTGTGACAGTTTCATGTTCATTGGACTTGTGAAATGTGAAATATATGTATGTATGTGTCACCGGACACGAAAATTCACAATCCATTCTGCCATCCAGATATGAGGGTAGTTCCAGTGTCATCTGCAATATCTCAGTTAAAAACAAATACAACAAAATAAAATTTGCATTAAGTTGTGTTAAATGTATGAATATAAGAAACTGCTTTGCCTTCACCGAATTTCCTGCACATAGTAAATACTAAAAAGTAATCTATACACACGCATAAACTCGGTACTTGACACATGACCGAAATCGGCGAGTCTACTATACACAATAATACCACCACTGGACACACTGAATAATTAGCATGATGTGCGTCAACAACAAAATGTAATATACATTAATAATTAATAAAATACCCTAATAGCAAGTATAATAAGACGCATAGCAAGAATAGTAGAAAGAGAATATTCCACACGGCATAAAAATCTACTTTCATTATGCCGATAACACACAATCGTCTGTTCCCAAAATTCAGATGCGGAACTTCTAGTCTTGCTAGTCTTCCAGTCAACATAACCAGCTTCACTACTTGTGTCGTTACCGGTCGTTACTGTGTCATGTTCGTCATATTCTATGATTCTATAACATGCTCCACGCCCTCCACGTCGCACGTACACATTGTACCATGTTCAAACGATTTGAAATCTGTGTACTCGCAGTCGGTCGCTAGTGTCGCTATTACTCGTACTTAGTGATCCGTGACTCGTGGTAGTTTGTAATCCGTGTTTTGAGTGGTGTTTAATAGTAGTCGTAGTAGTAATACGAAAAGAATTAAATTATGTATGTGTTGAATCGTCAGTAGATAGTATGTTTGCTCCTTAACGAAAAGTTTAATTATGTATGTGTAGAAGCTTCACTAGAAAATATATGTTTGTTCCCCATTTTCACTCTTATGATTTATAAGTATGGTTAAGTTCTAACCAAATATAGCCAATAAATCCAAATCCCCCCAAAATGTGTCGGGAGATCAAATATTTGAGAACAGTAGCAAAGTAAAAATTTGATTCATGAAAAATTGGGAGCAGATGAAATGTTGGTATTGCTACCATTCAGCTCAGAGGACTTTGTCCACTCAACTGCTGATTAGAAACGAAGATTAACGATTAAAATATAAAAAAACAATTTTTCCTGTAGTTTGGTATAGGTGTTTGAGAACGGGTTGCTGAGGAGAATTGGCCAAGAGGGATGAAATAATGGAAGGGTGACAAATACTGCATAATGAGCTTCACAACTTGTAGTGCTCATCAAATGTATTTTGAATGATCAAGGAGTATGAGATTGGTAGAGCATGTACCACGCGTGGCAGAGAAGATTAATGCTTACAGGGTTTTGGTTGCAAAACTAGAAGGGAAGAGACAACTAGTAAAATCTTGATGATGTAAGTGGAATATTAGGATGGATCTTGGAGAAATGAGGTAGGGTGGTATGGACTGATTCACCCAGTTCAGGCTCAAGTGAGGACTATTATAAACCTTCTGATCCCATTAAATGTTGCGAATATCTCAAGTGGCTGAGCAGCTGTTGACTTCACAAGAAGGACCAATTTTGATGGAGTTAATTAAGTTAAACCTATACATCAATGCTACAAAGGAATTTACTGATGTTATCAGCAGCATTATTTATCTGAAAAAATTGCTTTATTAGTGTAATGTGTAGAATAAATTACATATAGGCTCTTTCAAGACACATGTTTTGTTAGTGAAGCAGTGCTTAAAAATCTTTCTGTACCAGCAATGTTAATATTGCTTAAATATGCATGAAATAAATCACCAATTTGTTCCTGACTTTACCCTTTAGTTTCTGTCTTTTTAATTTTATTCTGAAACGTATTTATATTTTTAGATTAAAGAGTGACTTTGTGGAATTAAATGTAAAAACTATTAAGACCTGTATTAGCATTGTAATATCCAGTTTATTTTAATGTGCTGCTCTGTTGCTATTATTATAAGCAACAGACATGTTTTTATTAATGTTTTTAGGTTTATGCCTTGTGATGATATGGATTAGGCACACTAATAGTGTACTATCCTGTGTAACTGTACAAGCTTTTTTGGAGTGATAAACATTATCCTAAGCTGGGAACCGAATCAGATTGTTTGGCAGCTTGTGTACTGCTACCTCATTATGACCTACTACATGAAACCACCAAGAGGTAACATTGCTTTACACACATTACATAAATGTGTACAACAAAGATTTGAGTTTCTACTATCTATCGAAAATGGAGAAATTAATATACCCAAGAACTTTGAATATTTAAATGATGGCACCTCATTGGACAGAGCTGGACATTTTGTACTAAGGTATGTGCACGTCTGATATGTAAAACAGCAAGCCTTTGAAGCATGAAATTAACATAAATAATATTTAAAAATTCATATCCTGCTTCACAGATAGTGCAAGTGTCACCATTGCAAAGATCACTTGGTTAATAGTGTACAGGCAAATGATTGCTGTCTATTCTGAAAATCGTAGAGGGCCCTTAAGTACACTGTGTGGACAGATTGCAGAGTTTTTAAATGTTGAAAGCTGGTGGTATGTATGTCATCCACTGTGACTTAAAGGATTAAACTGTGTTTTTACCGTTCTCACTCATGCAATGACATGCTGCTTTGAATTCAAATTAGTGATTTTTATTTGTCACATTTATTTATTTATTTATTTATTCCATTGTAAAATTCCGTCGATCCAATCTAGGCTACACATACACCTGACGGATATAGAACCAGTCACAGACAAGTAACTAAAATACACATGCTATGAAAATAAGCATAGGTCAGATCAAACAATAAACCAAACTGTTTATCATCCTACTTTAACATTAAACATAAGAACATCTTAAATTTAATATTGTAAAAAATCATCATACCAAAAAGTAGATGATAACATACTTATGCCAAAATAAAGCACCTATGATACATAAAACCTTAAAAATTAACATTAAAAATTAGTAATCACTATTAAAAAATCCTTCAGTGAATTAAAACAATTCAATAGAAGGTAGGTTTTTAGAGAATTTTGAATTGATTCTTATTATCAATTTTTTTTATGCAAGGAGGTAAGTGATTAAATGCCTTTATACCTATATAATAAACACAATTTTTATAGACAGACGACCTTGGTTGTGAAGGGTAAAAATTATTTTTACCTCTGGTGTTGATATCATATAACTCTGAATTTGTTTAAATAAGGAGATATTATCAATTACAAAAATTAGTAATGAAAATATATTCTGAGAATAAAATGGTAATATATCTAGTTTCTTAAACAACTCCCTACAGGAATCCCTATTTCTGGAATTTGTAATACTTCTTATGACCTTTTTTTTGTTGTTTAAATGTATTGGTACTATAAAGGGAATTCCCCCAGAAGATTATACCATATGACATAACAGCATGAAAATAAGAATAGTAAATCATCCTTAGTGATTCATGGGACACAAAGTCTTAAAGATATTCATATTTATTTGCATTCATACTGTTACAACTGCAACACTTGAACAAGTCAACTCACTAAATACATCATTGTTAAAAGCTCTATAATCCTAGAATGTATTAGACTAAAAATAAAACTGTACTTGCCTTACAACATAACTAAGAATTTTAAAAATATAACAATAACTACTACAATTCCCTTTCCTTCTCTTTTTTTGTTAATTAAAAAAACCTTGCTATGCTTCCTCATGTCCCTGTTGAAGAAACTCATTCAATGTATAGAAAGGACGATCAAATAAAAATAATTTTAATTTATGTTTAAATTCGTTACATCCCTTTGACTTTTTAACTTCCAAAGGAAGTATATTATATAATTTAATGCCCACATTAATAACACTTTTCTTAAAAACTGATGTGTTACATTGTTGTACATGAAGATCATCTTTCCTCCTAGTATTATACTCGTATAAATCAGTATTTCTCGTAGTGTATATATTATATCTCTTAAAATAACACAACACCTCTATGATGTACAAGGACGTAATAGTTAAAATCTTCAATTCTTTAAATAAAGGTCTGCATGACACTCTGTTATTTACACCTTTCATGAAACGAAGCATCCTTTTTTGTATTTTAAAGACTTTAATACTTTCATTTTCTCCTCCCCAAAAAATCAACCCATAACTTACCAACGATTGAAATTTGGCAAAGTATATATTCCTGAGTATATGTAAACTTACCTCATCTTTCAAAGATTTAATAATATAACATACCTTATTCAATTTTGAACACAAGGACTGAATATGTACACTCCATTTGAGATTTTGAGTTATATTAATACCTAAAAATCTAAACTGAGATGTATACTTAATTTTTATATTATTAAAAATAATATCTGGCCCTGAGATGTCATGCGGTTTCTTTAACTGGAATAACATAGCTTTAGTCTTGTCATTATTTATAATCATATTGTTTTTTGAAAACCATAATTAGAGTAAGTTGATGACTGACATGGGCAAGTAAGTGTTTGGCAATTATGTTTAAAAAAAATCAGCCCCGGTCATATTTGAACCACCTTGTATAACATTAGATATCCAAAGATTAACGGCCGTGGGGATTCATTGCCCTGACCACGTGACACCCTCTATCTGCAGAAGTTGGCATTAACTTCGCCAACAAGCGGCAGTCGCTCGGTTGGTCGGTATAGTTCACTTGCGGACTAAAACCACGGAGTTTATGTTTTAAAAGCAGTATTATATACTGTTGACTTGTGTTTGTCTTGTTGTGCCAAGAATGTTTATTGACTTGTTCTGAATCTTTGGCCAGTTATCGATTTATGGAATGAATAAATATGAATGAATGAATGTTATCAGCAAGTGTAGTTCTCCTAACCGCCAACTTGTCATAAGGCCTTGATCTTGCCACCTGTGGTATTTTTCAGGAATGTAACCTCCATGTACAGGAATCATTGTACTCTGAACAGTTTTTATTACATTGTAAAACATATGGACCATGTGATTAATACCCAGGACCTTGACTGTGAATAACATTTTCATAAATTAATGTTATAAAGATTAAGGGAGGAACATAGACTGAAGGTGTTTGAAAACGTGTTGAGGAGAATATTTTGACTGAAGAGGGTTAATGCATAATGAGAAGCTTCATAACTTGTAGTCTTCTCCAAGTATAATTAGAATGATCAAGTCAAGGAGGATGAGGTGGGCAAGGCATGCAGCATGAATGGGGGAGAAGAAGAATACATGTAGGATATTGGTGGGAAGCCAGAAGGAAAGAGACCACTGGGAAGACCAAGACGTAGGTGGGTGGACAATATTAAAATGGATCTTAGAGATAGGATGGGATGGTATGGATTGGATTGATCTGGTTCAAGATAGGGACCAGTGGAGGGCTCTTGTGAACATGGTAACGAACCTTTGGGTTCCATAAAATGCTGCGATTTGGCTTCCCCTCAAGAGGGGCTCAGCTCCATAAGTTTGTAATGTTATAAAGTCTTAATAAATTTTTATATGTATCATATAAGCACCGTCGTAAATGCAACAATTTATTATAGTTCTTTGACTTTCTTCTGTTACACTACATGTTTCGGCCATAACTGGCCATCATCGGGTGTATTTTGCTTATGTAGCTGTCACACTGCACGTGATTTAAAATTTAAAAACGTATTAAAGATAAGCAGCGGCACGCACACAGGGAGCCTGCACAGAATAATAAGTGAACGGTGCTGAAAGGAAGAAGTAGCCGCTGCAGCACATGTAGACATAGAGCAGGTATCCCTGTAATTTAAATTTTAAATTTAAATTGTAGATTTTAAAAATTCTAAATCAAATTGACGAGTGTACATTAACAGAGATTTTAAACATAACTGACAAAATCAGCAAGGGGATTCTGGTATATCGGAACCGATTGAAGCGCAGCAATGACAATTAAGAAAGCTGGTGTTTTTAAATTTTAAATTGTGTGCAGTGTGACAGCTATGTAAGCGAAATACACCTGATGATGGCCAGCTATGGCCAAAACATGTAGTGTAAAAGAAGAAAGACAAAGAACTACAATAAATTGTTGCATTTATGACGGTTTTTATATTATACATATAGAAGTGTATAGTGCAACAGGTGCTTAAATATAATATCTTAAAAACAACTTTGCTTTACATGATTTCACATCGTTTTCAGGTTGCTGTCACTCTCATGTTATAACTTCAAGATATTTGTGTTAAAAGCAGAAACCAATTTATTTGTTAACCGTTTGACTGCACTGAATTATAAACAAATTACAAATGTGTTGAAGATACTGTACAAACATGTGAAAGAGATCATCCAGCTCTCACCAAATATATCAGTGGAATTTATTCAGTTCCTATCAACAGTGAAACATGTTTGTAAAATTATGATAAAACAGGAAACAGCTATCCATACATTCAGGGAAACTCATCCAGAAAGCTGTTCACATTATAACATACATGGTGAGACGATAATATGTTTAGTTATTACCAAACTGCTCTTGTATGCAATGTTAATATATTTTTTTTCCTTAGAATATGCAATGTATTTGTATTCATAGCTGTTAATATATACAAATTCACATCACATGAATGTTGTCAAGATGTCATAATGTATGATACTAAAACAGTATGTTAACAATGCTGTCCTACCTACATCAGTAGTTTTACTTCCAACAGAAAAATATGGACCATGGATATTTGAAAACCATGGTGCTGACATTTAGGTGGGAGCACTGGATTCGTCTGGTTAAGGACAAGGATCAGTTGTGGGCTCTTGTAAACGTGGTAATGAACCTTTGCTTTCTGTAGAATGAATTTCTAGACCAGATCCTCCAATTAGTCTCTTCCCTTTGGATTCTCCACCCAAAATTTTGTATGCACTCCTCTTTTATGTGTGAATGCTGCGTGTCTTGCCCATCGTCTCTAATTTGATCACTTGTATAGTATTTATTTGATGTTAGTTTCAATCCATTTGATGGTTTTGTAACATTAATGCACATACACAAATGTTATATGGGTAGGAAAAGTTTTATTTGGGCAGGTTAACAAGGATTTCAAGCATTTTCGATACATTTATAACAGTTTAGCTAAAAGTGATGATAAATGTAGCAAGAATTGATGGTACCAATGTCACTATCACCTCAGATATTTCCAGATATTCTGTGTTGGTATTCATGATGATAGGGAAATAATATGTACAGAAATATGATAGCCTTCAATGACATGATGTCCATACTAGCTTTCATTAGGGTCAGGTGGATGCAAGCAGGCAGACACATCACAGAAGTGATCATTCCTTGGGGAAATAGGCTTGGAAAAGAAGAAATATTCCTAAAAAACCTGAACTAGTGCAGCAGAAATATTAGTAGGCAGAATGGCATAATATGTAATTATAGAAAGTTATCCCTGTGCTTAGTTAAGCACACCATGAAGACATACTGTGAGTGGGGGTACAGCTTCATGCAAACTTCACTGGGTGGAGGTGCATGGGTAACTCCATGCCCCACCCACTTTATTCCCATGGAAAGAGCCTCCAGTTCCTATCTAAGAGGAGGCTTGGTGAATGCAAATCTGTTCAGACAATATGGGGAGGCAAAAGACCGTTGCATCTGCCAGGAATCAAACCCTGAGTCCCTGGTCATTTAGCCCATACCCTAGATGCTCCACCAACTGTGCTATCCCATCTCCAACAAAATATATATTCTAGCATAAATTTCACACATTTTTAAAATTAATATATGATTAGTGTTTTGTTCACTTGATTCTTCTTATTCCAGTACCATTCAGAATGTGCTTGCCATTAGTTCAGAAACGTGAAGTAGAATTGAAATCAGGGAAATGCATTGTACCCTGTGGGAAGTGGAAGCATCTTCTTACAATCCTGTTCCACCTGCATCTGGAATTTGGTATGAAACACATAGAAAGCAGAGGATGTCTACATAAAGCACTGAATGATCCTCGACTACACCAGCTTGCACAGGATTTGGGAAGAAGGTTAGTGTTTTCTCACTGTAATTCTTGGTGGACACTAATTCTGGTATTCATTCTCTGAAACCATAATAGAATTATATCGAATACAACGGTAAAACGGGTCATGCGGTAGCATAGTTGGTTGAGGGGCTATGCTACAAAATGGAAGGTCGCAGGTTCAAGTCCCAATGAGGTCGTGGGATTTTTTTCAGTTGACCTAATCATTGCAGCTGCACTATGGCCCTGGGGTTCACTCAGCCTCTAACAGAAATGAGTATCAGGAATTAATTAAATAATTTTCCTGGAGAGTAAAGCACGGCCGGCTCTTAAGTCCAACAACCTTACCGGCATCTTTGAGCCAGTTGTGTTGATAATGTGGTACCCTCAACATCTCACAACCCTGTGGGCCTTCATGGCCTGGTACAGGGATAGCTTTACTTTACTTTTTTTTACAAGGGTAAAACTGACCCAGTGCTTAACCACCACAGCATGAAAATATGGGATGGCACAAATACAGCCCCACACATTCTTAACAAACATTGTCCATTCAGTTTTAAGTATTCTTTGTGTGAAGTGGATAAAATGTATGCATAGTGGGGAGTGCAGCTGATCCTGTAGTTATCTAGTGAGAGAAGCCTGAGCAAACTGGGAGGCTGCTTAATTTATCTCCTCCAATTAGAAAAAAAAAATCAAGTGGGTAAGTTTTTTAGGGGTAAACTTAGCCACCTGCTACATATCTGTTAAACTAAAATTTGGGGTAGTATGGGTCCAGAAAGACCGTGCTAAAATGACAACTTCTGTACCAGTGAAAGTTTATGATTTTAAAGAGCCTGGTTTTGTGTTTCCCATTAATTGAGACTGATTTACTGATGTGCAGCTAGCTTCAAGGTCAGCCTATGCTGCTCTCCTTGAACCAAGAAAGGGACTAACACTCTCAGTTTCTTAATCTGTACGGTTGGTAGGACTCCTTGAACAAGGGATCACCCCATTGCAAGGCTGCTACCTACACACAATGAATGCACACAGACATCCATGCCTTGAGTTGGATTCGAACCCATAATCCCAGTGTTCGAGTGGGCGAAGACGGTTCATGCCTTTGATCATGCGGCCTCTGTGATTGGCAGATAATATACTACCACAGTCAATAAGTTCATGGAATGGCTGCAACGTGTCATATGGGAATTTACTGCCAATATGTTTCAGCAATGTTTTTGACACCTATATCAACGTTGGGAGACTTCCATAGTGGCCAACAGCAACTATTTTGAGGGCAGATGTGGATCTGCATAAGTGTATGTGAATACCTTGTAATATGATGCGATAAAACCACATTCCATGAACTTAATGACTCTACCACATATTATTCTTCATTATTTAATTTACACATATGATCCCCGAGTGTAATATATGCACCAGTCTTTATACCAGCCTGAAATGACAGATGAGAGAATGAAGCACTGGTGGAATAATAACCGAGGCGGGAGAACCAAACTAATTAATCAGAGAAGAGCCTGCTGTCCCAGTGACGTTTTGTCCAAAAATTCCAAATGGACTGTCCTGGAAATGTCCTCTAAAATGAGAAGCTGGTGACTTAACTGCCTGTGCTGTGGCATGGCCTAATAATCATACATAAATTTTATTAATTTTTTTTTGTGAAACTTCTGAATAACCCCTTACTATATTCCTGCATTTTATTAAATTTAGTTTAAAACTGTTAATCCAAAAGGTAATTTTGTTCTTGTTGTCAGATTCAACGATAATATTTCTCAAGTGACTGGGGCTAGAATGACAGCTCAAGATGTGAATTCACAAAGTATTTACTTTCCACCATGCATGGCTCATCTTTATAAAGTCCTCCAATCAAGACATCGCCTCACTCATGAGGCTCGCAGACAGTTTACTCTGTTTCTCAAGGATGCTGGTATGCCTGTTGAAGAAGCTCTGAATTTCTGGAGCACTGAATATTCTCAGCCTAGTCCAGAATGTGGCTCAGGGTGCACCCATTCCTGGCAGAAGGATGCCCATCGCTATCGCTACAGCATTAGGCACATGTATGGTCTGGAAGGAGGCAGATACACATATTCAGTACCAAGCTGTAGCTATATTCAGGTAATAAAATTTTTACTACTTATTCTTTGTATGATTTCCAGATTGTAAGGTGGAGGGATGGTGAATGATAGGAAGAATGCCTTAGCTAATATTATATCAGGAGGCACGGACTTTAAAATATACTCCATTTACTTTGGGAATGAGGGTACATCATTATCAGCCACACAGACCACTACATTATGATCAGAAGGCTGCTAGCTTCTGTTTTCAGCATCCTTCTACGTAGTATTCATACCCCAGTGGGAAATTCATACATAGGAGTTCTCTTACATAAGGTTACATGCACAGTGTGATGACATACCCTGGTTTGTAGAATAGAGGGAAACTTTAGGAGCAGAATTATAAGTCATTGTATCCCTTTATTAGCTTCATTGAGGGATATTTATAATGAAGTGCAAATAGAGACCTTGAGACAAAGAAATAATGAAGATTATGAGAAGACACCAGTTAAAGCAGGATTAAAGTCAGCTGTGCATTTATGGTGTAAAATATTTAAACTGGTAAATAGAATGAATATAAATACTGTAAGATAGAATGGGGTACTGATGAAGAGAACTGGGAGAAGAGAACGTGCTAAATGTTGTTATAAAGATGAAAGAAGAGAATGGGCATAATGGAGGAATAAAATTTTAAATTTAAGCATTATCCCATGAAGGCGTATGAGGGACTGGATGCATAGATCCACAGTTTCTTGACCTTGGCCCTAGTTGGAGGTGAGTGGTCAGCTTCACGTCCCGGCCGCTTTACCCCCAGTACCCATTGGGTAGGAGACTGGGTGGGTCTGGATCACGTGAGAAGGAAAAATCTTGACTCTACTTGGACTTGGAACTCCAAACCCTTGGTCGTCCAGCCCATAGCCACTTGCTATACTGACTATGCTAAACTGGCTCGTATAATGGAGGAATATGTAAGTTAAAAATTTGTATGTGAAATGCTCAAAACAGACAGTGCCCCATATGTGGGGAGTGGAAAGACATATGATGTAAGACATATTCTGGTAAGGTACAATGAAAGTAAGATTTAGAAAATAAATTCGGAATGTAAGAAACCTTTTCTAAAAAATTATTTACAAAATGACTATTAGTTGTGATAGTTTTTTGATTAACGTATTTGTGAATACTTCTTTAAACTCAAGTGTAAAGGAGAGAGTTAACGAAATGCCAGTAGTGAAAATGAGAAAGGGATATGTACACAGAGGATACAGTTCTACATGTATGTCATAATATTGCACTACCTGCATGATGACCAGGCACTGCCACAGGTGGAAGAACCACATAACATGCGAACGTGGTAAATTTACTTACAAATGCTTGGTACTTTTCTGTAAAAATATGTTTGCCTGTACTGTCAAGCTTAATTTTAGCTTCAAAGTCAAAACATAAAATGCATCCTACATGTGCAACTTTTGACAAGTTTGCTAATAAGTTGAGGGTTGAAAAAATAAAAACACTGCCAGTACTTACTAGCATTATTTCCTACCTTTAATTGTAAGGGAGAAATAAATCTCATTTACCTTCTCTTTATATTATATTTTGTATTAGAAGCTGAAGAAGCAGTTTATAGTTTATGGGAAACCATTTTCACAGTTGTTACATTTAATCGTCCTCAGAATGACTTATTTCCAATAACTCCACAGTTTATGTGATCTAATGGAACAGTACACAATATACAGGGAGATCGAAAAGTGGCGCACATCACAGTAAGCAATTTTATTTTGCTGGTTTAATGCACAAACTAAAAGACATACAGCACTTACTATTAATGTTTATAACCTTACATCTTAGAAATGCAAAATCAAATCATGTCTTTGCAACATATGTTCTAAATGGCTTCCCTGTTCAGCAATGCATACACGAGCTCTTTTTACCATGTTTGAGGCCACTTTGTGGTGCACCTGTAAACTGATGCTGTTAATCGCCATCGTAATGTTCCTCTTGAGGTCATCCAATGTATGTGGATTGTTTTTATAAACAATTCCTTTGAGGTACCCGCAAAAGAAAAAATCTGCAGGTGACAAATCGAGCAAACAGCGGGGGCCACAATCCTTTCGAAATGAGACTCACCGAAAAACTCGTGCAAGAACTCCATGGTTTCATTAGATGCGTGACATGTGGCACTGTCTTGCTGCAAGCAACACTCACGTTCATCAACTTCAAGAAGTGCAATAAACTGTGTAATTATGTCTTGGTACGCTGGACTGTTCACTGTTGTTTCAAAGAAAATTTGGCCCACTACTTGATGTGATACAGCACACCACACTCCAATCTTCTGACAGTGCAAGGGCTTTCATGTAACACGTGTGGATTTTCAGATGACCAAATCCTATTGTTTTCACTGTTCACATAGCCACTAAGGTAAAACCACGCTTCGTCAGTGAAGAACGACTGGCGAAATAATGTTCCGCAATGAAAACTCGTTCTTAGGAAAATTACATCTCTGTCACGCAATAAACAAAGCTATACTACAGATGCCATATGACCAATACACAACAGATGGTGTTTCTACTCACTGTTAGTACTCCTACAGCACCATCTAGCAGTAGGAGATATAATTATATTAACTGCAATACAATTTATAAGAACTTTTAGTATGATGTGCACAATTTTTTGATCTCCCTGTACTATACAGATGGCTTGTGATCATCAGACCCAAATTTGATTTTTCTATTTGCTAGTGAAATGCCTGCTGAAAACTCAGTGAGAATATTTGATAGTACTTATCCGTAGCTCCCACAGTTAATGCTTACCTTGAGTAACTGTTTAATTTATAGCTCCTGAAGGACACTTTGAAACTGCTCTTTCATTGACTGCACATTATGTAACTATTTCCATTAAAGGTTATGACTTCATACCAGTCAGTGCAGTGCTACCTCCAGTTCCATTTATTGCTGTCACATTATGGTCTTGTTCTTAACTGCTATCAATCCATATTAATGCATAACACACAACTGGTTTCTTGCTTGTCTTATTCTTTGATATGTTGTATTTTAGCGTCCTGTTGCACTGATTCATATCCATGATGTGTATATATTAACAGTCTTCAAGTGCATACAATCTCATTTAACACTTCTACACTACATGTTTCGGCAGTATGCTGCCATCTTCAGGTGTATCGATCCGTCAACTATTTCACTGCTCGCCTTTGTATGTCCATTTACAAATAATATAAATTTGTATACGTCCTTATGTAATAATGAAGTTTATGTATTTAAAACTTGTTAAAATCTATTGTCTCATACATCATATTTTAAAACTCCGATACAACGCATGCAGCCACAAGGGTGGGACACATCATAAGACATAATATACACACAACATTAGAAACATAAGAACGGCCCCCATAGTGGATGATCAATAATAGTGTAACATGTTGCGCAACGGAGAACCCCTCCCTACCCAGCAGCAACGTGGCAACTCAGGCCACAGGCGCGTGGCGGTAACGTAGCGCTCCCTCCCCTCCGCGGTGACGTAACGCGCAATGCTACGTAACCGTAATCAACTTCCTACTGTGACGTGGCACTCATTACGCAACAGGCAAGCACTGCAGCTATATAAGTGAGCTGCACAGCAGCTACCAGTCAGTTCTACTGTGGCAGTCGGCGACGTCAGTTGTATTCTGGCATTTGGAGTGTACTAATTGTGATACTGCAGATAGCAGTAATCATAAATCTGTAATTTGGGTGACTGTAAGTGTGAATGTGAAATAAAATTCGCTATATCAAATATGGCGTGAAGTTATTTGTCGCAATATACGCCCAACATGCGACAATTGGTGTCAGAAGTGGGATTAGAACTTACACACGTGACTGACGGGATTTGGACTTACACACGTGACCGACGAGATTCGATCTGAAGACACGTGACAATTTGAATTGTTGTGCAACGAATATTGTACTGCTACAAAATGGAGATGCAGCAGATGATGGAAATGCTGGCAAGAATAGACGCCAGCATGAAAACCAACAAGGAAGAAATGGAGGCCAATAGGAGGAAAGACAGAGATTTCCTGGCCAAATTAGACGCCGATATGAAAACCCATCAAGAAGAGATGAGGGCAAATCAAGTAAAAGCAGATGCCGACCGATTGCGGATGGAAGACAGAATGGAGGCCAACCGAAAAAAAGACAAAGAGGATTTCCTGGCGAAATTAGAATCCAGTCAAGAAAAANCGAGCAAACAGCGGGGGCCACAATCCTTTCGAAATGAGACTCACTGAAAAACTCGTGCAAGAACTCCATGGTTTCATTAGATGCGTGACATGTGGCACTGTCTTGCTGCAAGCAACACTCACGTTCATCAACTTCAGGAAGCGCAATAAACTGTGTAATTATGTCTTGGTACGCTGGACTGTTCACTGTTGTTTCAAAGAAAATTTGGCCCACTACTTGATGTGATACAGCACACCACACTCCAATCTTCTGACAGTGCAAGGGCTTTCATGTAACACGTGTGGATTTTCAGATGACCAAATCCTATTGTTTTGCCTGTTCACATAGCCACTAAGGCAAAACCACGCTTCGTCAGTGAAGAACGACTGGCGAAATAATGTTCCGCAATGAAAACTCGTTCTTAGGAAAATTACATCTCTGTCACGCAATAAACAAAGCTATACTACAGATGCCATATGACCAATACACAACAGATGGTGTTTCTACTCACTGTTAGTACTCCTACAGCACCATCTAGCAGTAGGAGATATAATTATATTAACTGCAATACAATTTATAAGAACTTTTAGTATGATGTGCACAATTTTTTGATCTCCCTGTACTATACAGATGGCTTGTGATCATCAGACCCAAATTTGATTTTTCTATTTGCTAGTGAAATGCCTGCTGAAAACTCAGTGAGAATATTTGATAGTACTTATCTGTAGCTCCCACAGTTAATGCTTACCTTGAGTAACTGTTTAATTTATAGCTCCTGAAGGACACTTTGAAACTGCTCTTTCATTGACTGCACATTATGTAACTATTTCCATTAAAGGTTATGACTTCATACCAGTCAGTGCAGTGCTACCTCCAGTTCCATTTATTGCTGTCACATTATGGTCTTGTTCTTAACTGCTATCAATCCATATTAATGCATAACACACAACTGGTTTCTTGCTTGTCTTATTCTTTGATATGTTGTATTTTAGCGTCCTGTTGCACTGATTCATATCCATGATGTGGATGTGTATATATTAACAGTCTTCAAGTGCATACAATCTCATTTAACACTTCTACACTACATGTTTCGGCAGTATGCTGCCATCTTCAGGTGTATCGATCCGTCAACTATTTCACTGCTCGCCTTTGTATGTCCATTTACAAATAATATAAATTTGTATACGTCCTTATGTAATAATGAAGTTTATGTATTTAAAACTTGTTAAAATCTATTGTCTCATACATCATATTTTAAAACTCCGATACAACGCATGCAGCCACAAGGGTGGGACACATCATAAGACATAATATACACACAACATTAGAAACATAAGAACGGCCCCCATAGTGGATGATCAATAATAGTGTAACATGTTGCGCAACGGAGAACCCCTCCCTACCCAGCAGCAACGTGGCAACTCAGGTCACAGGCGCGTGGCGGTAACGTAGTGCTCCCTCCCTCCCCTCCGCGGTGACGTAACGCGCAACGCTACATAACCGTAATCAACTTCCTACTGTGACGTGGCACTCATTACGCAACAGGCAAGCACTGCAGCTATATAAGTGAGCTGCACAGCAGCTACCAGTCAGTTCTACTGTGGCAGTCGGCGACGTCAGTTGTATTCTGGCATTTGGAGTGTACTAATTGTGATACTGCAGATAGCAGTAATCGTAAATCTGTAATTTGGGTGACTGTAAGTGCGAATGTGAAATAAAATTCGCTATATCAAATACGGCGTGAAGTTATTTGTCGCGATATACGCCCAACACGCGACAATACACATGAGTTTTAAAATATGATGTATGGGATAATAGATTTTAACAAGTTTTAAACACATAAACTTTATTGTTATATAAGGACGTATACAAATTTAATATTCTTTGTAAATGGACATATAAAGGCAAGCAGTGAAATAGTTGACGGATCGATACACCTGAAGATGGCAGCATACTGCCGAAACATGTAGTGTAGAAGTGGTAGATGGGATTGTATGCACTTGAAGGCTGTTAATATATACACATTATTCTTTGATGCTGAAGGTGGAGGCAACATGTCCCTCTCAGATGTCATATGACTTTCAATTGGCTGCACATGTTGTATCCCAGAAGACAGAACTCTTCATACTGATATATGGTTTATTTAATGACGTGTCACTAGCTCAGACTTGTATCAGATAGAACTGATGAATTGGAAAGAATGTGGAAGGAAGCGGTCACATCCCAATTTGATGTATTAGTCCACCATTTGTCTAAAGGGATCATGGGAAACCACAAAAACTGCCAAGAGTAATTTTGTGTGATGACTCAACTTTGTTAGTGTAAGGGATATAAAAGACCAAGTCAAAATCCCTTCTGACACACATAACATCACCTTCATGTTATAGTATAGTTGGCCAAGCTTGAAACTGAGGGTGTATGTTTATGTTCACCTATATATATAATACAGGGGTATGCGGTAGCATAGTTGGTTGAGGCACTATGCTACAAACCGGAAGATCGCGGCACTGAGCCCGGATGAGGTCATTGGATTTTTTTCAATTGACCTAATTTTTCCAGCTGCACTATGGCCCTGGGGTTGACTCAGCCTCTAACAGAAATGAGTAGCAGGAATATTCTTGGAATGTTCTTGGGGGTAAAGGGTGGCTGGCGCGTAGGGCTGACAACCTTGCCACCATCTATGAACCAACTCTCTTAGAAAATGTGGGAACCTCAATATCTCACAACCCTATGGGCCTCCACAGCCTGTTACAGGGATACCTTTACTTTTTACTATATATATATATATAATACAGGTCAATATACATTTTGTAGAGACACCTGAAACTACTATCATATGCTAATTCTGACATCTGTTACAGAAATCTAACTTGACTCCATTGGCTGAAGGTGGATGCCCCTTCCAGCACTTTGATTATACAAGTATGATATCCACATTTCCTTCTCAGCTTCTGAATGACAAGTTTACTATGAACAAAATACTTCATCTGAAAGCAAGTAATAAGCCACAGGAAGCATGCCACTTGTTACATAGATTTCAAAGGGATTTGATTCATGCAATGAAGACTTCTCCGAATGTAGTGACTCCTAACCAGGTGTTGTATGCCAGAAGCAATTCCTTGACCATATTTGTAAATCCTGTGCAGTATTATCTGAGCCTAACATCACCACAGCAAGATATGAATGATACAAATGAGAATAATAATTAATTTGCTAATTACATTTAATTGATGACTTTTCAATAGAGGTTGTAAACAGTCTTTCGATCTTGAGGTAAGCCATAAAACTCAAGGGACTCCAGACCAGGTGTGGATATGTTTATTTGTACACAGACTTGAGTTGTTCACATTTGCTGAAACTTAACACTTTATGGACGTAGAATAGACTAGAACCAGCCTGTGTTAAGCTGAAGCTTCCTTAGTTAGCCATCTTATTCATTTAAGAAATCTTCTTAGACAAGTGTTTACACTAAAAATACACTTTACTGGGTGGGCTGAGGCTGGGAAGTTTGGCCTTCCCATAACTGAAAGTACTGCCACAACAGCATACTGTTATTTTATAAGGAAAATAACCTCTGTGGAGAAATTCGTTTCTAGAAGCCAGTAGTCACACAAGTCAAAATTTCCCTGCTTCTTATGGAACCAAACAGTTCACCACCATGTTGGAGCACCATTTTAGATATGATGTAGCCCTTTCTAGGACTTTACTCTGCCCCGTCCCTCCCTTTTTCATATTCCCATCCCTATCATCCCACACACTCCAGCCATACCTTTTCCCCACCATCCCATATTCTACCCCTTCACTTCCAGAAATAAGATTAGGTCGTTTTAGATCAGTCTTTCTGTTCCACTTGCTATTGGGTATTGCTTGACTCTCAAGTCTGTGAAGATATATTCTTTAAGTAGTAGTGGCAGAAGCTTTTGGGTAGTTACTTTGCATAGAAGCTGAAGGGAGCAAGGATCTCCAGATAACCAATAATACATGATGTCTTTACCCAAACATGAACAGCATCAACTGTTAAGCTGGCATATAGTCCCAATGTATTAGTCAAAATAAATCTAAGTACAACCAACCAACAACAGTACCTGTTAGCAGATAAACTACCCAGAAAGGGATATTTGAGTAGTTCACTCATGATCTGAGCTATTTGTCATGAACTCAGGAAATTGGAGAAGCCTCCCATTTTCACCCCAAAGGAACAGAGGGAACCACCTCCAAAGGATATGTGATGACTTGGTTTCTCTACCCTGGCCCTTCGAAGGGCCTATTCAATATCCTCCTTTTTTCTCTCTGTCTACCCCTCCGCCCCTCCACGTTTGATTCTCTTTCCTTCCTCCTGTGCTTCTTCACTTCTACTGTCTTTTGCATTTTAAAAATCTGTCTTGCATCTCTCTTCCCCTCCTTCCTTCCTGATACATATTTTGTCTTCCTTGAGAAAACAGCCCTTTTGTGGGCAATGGTTCAGTTGGCTGATTTACAGCCCCAGTCCCAACCCTTTCATTCTTATATTACATACTGTTTTACACATTCAGCTCACTTCTACCCTGAAGATGGAAGGTTCCTCCAAAATATTGGTACCTAGCTCTCAAACTGTACAGAGTCACATCCAAAAAGACCATATACCTGACTGATGATTTATGTTCATGGCTTGGTAAGCATTAAATTGGAAATACATGATCAAAACTGTTCCTTTTACCCCCGAAGTTTGGTATTACTGCTCAGTAGTGACAGAATTCAATACACTGTACTGAGCAAAAAAGCCATGAGGTACATGTTAGAAGGCCAGAATCCATGTAAATTTGAAAAGATTTCCCATTCAGAACTGCAACTTTCATTACAATGGTTCAGTAATGAATAGAATATACTATCATTCGCCTTTACTTCTCACAAAATTACACCGTCATACATACAATACAAATGACTGCCAGTTACTTCAATTTGCTTTATCCTTTAGTCTCTCTTCTTTACCAAGTTCAAGTTCTCTTAACTGTTTGAGAACTTGTTCAACGTCTGTTTCACTGACAGTTGGCTCCACCCCACACTCTTCTTCCTCCTTACGAATCCAGCGCAATTTCTGTGCTTTTTCTCGTAGGAAGTCCATCTGCTGTGCTTCTAAACTAGCCTTATAGGCATCTAGCTTCTGTTGCTTGATCTCTGCACAGTGCTTGTTTGTAAGTTTCCTAAGTGAATCCTTGCGTGTTATCCAGTGGAAGTGACTGAAACATTTTATGTATTTCATTAGAATAGATTTGTAACTGCCAAAGTAATATATCTATGTCCAGTTTTTTCACCATCAAACCAGTACTGCATTTTTGTGAATAGATTATATGAATGCCATGGTTTCCAATCAACAGTCTGGAACTCAAGCTACAATGAACACACAAAACAGAAATAAGGAACACATCAAGATACAATAAAAACAGACCTTTGGAACAATTCAAGGTATTACACTTAAAAATTGTATTCCGAAGTACTGTCAGACTTATAAAGGAGACTGAAAAAGAAGTAATCTATACACAAATTAAACTGACACGAAACACAAAATTCTAACTCCATGGAGCAGTCCTTAAGGAAGCAATGGTCTCGCCTTTTATGGAACTGTAAGGTTCATTACCATGTTCACAAGGGCTCACCACTCTGTCCTGCACTAGATTAATTTAGTCCCTACCCTCACACTGTATTTTAATTTTTTAATATTCTCCCTTTTATGTCCAGGTCTCCCAAATGGTCTCTTCCCTTCCAGGTTTTTGGCTAAAATTTTGTATGCATTTCTTATCTCCCCATGCACATGTACCTTCGATCTCATTTTCATTCAGTTCATCCTAATAATATTTCATGCAAGGGTACACATTATGAAGCTCCTTATTCTGAAGTTTATGTATATACTATATTATCCATTTCATGAACACATGAACTTAACTACAAGAGGTGTGCTGGTATTCACATCAGTAACTGACAAACTTCTATTTGTTATTTAAGCATTCAAATTCATCAACAAAATGGATGCAGTGTATTGGTATCAATTCTTTTAATGTTACTTAGTTGTCTTGTGTTAGTGGACATCTTTTTATTTTTGGGTAGCAGTTGGTTGTACAACTTTACTGCTATATAACAGACATCCTTCTGATAAACTTGTTATTTTTGTTACTTCCACGTGGATCGAATGATAAGTGAGAATCAGTGTTCACTCTACTCCTGCTTTATTAAGAGTCTGCGTCGCTGGGCTGTCGCCATCCCACGCATCACAGGTCGCTGTTCTGTCACCGACACAGGGCGGTTCTGTCACCGTTACAGGCGTCACGGGGCGCTGGGCTGTCGCCATCCCTGTCGTCACAGGTCGCTGTCCTGTCGCCGTCACAGGTCGCTGTTCTGTCACCGTCAGAGGTCTGTGACGGCGACAGGACAGCGACCTGTGGCCCCAAGTTAAATCTTTACGTCGTCCAGACAACAACAGCAAAGGACACGTTGGAAAGAACATTCAAAGATCAGGGAGTCAATAGTTGGATAAGTATTTTAACTAATTTGTGCTCTTTGAAACTTGAGGGCTATAAAAGCATGCAGGAATATGTTAATGTCTTCATGTCAATAAATCTCAGACTAGTCTCAATGGACAAAAAAAATAGATGATGAGCTATTAGCTGCATTAATGTTAAAGGGTTTAACTAAAGAGTATTATCCCATGCGTATGGTGCTTGAAAACTCCAACATAACTCTGACTAGTGAGCTCATTAAATCTAAGCTATTGCAAGACACTGAATTTGGTAAAAATGCAAATTCAGATTCAGCCTTTCTGTCCAAAGATAAGATTAAACGTAAACTAGCAAAATGTCAAATTTGTGGTAAGCTAGGCCACATAAACAAAAACTGTTGGTTCAAAGATAAGGATAAGACGAACAATAAGAATCATAACAATCAGTATAGGCAAAAATTTAAGAGCAATCACTCTTCTAAATCAGTTAATAGTACTGATGAAAATAAAGAAGGATCCGATCATAGGTGTAATCAAAATAAATGGAAAAATAAGACAAGTAAAAGATCCATGTATATGGTGTCTGCCCATCATGTTAAAGTTAAAGAGAACACTTGGGTAATAGACTCTGGTGCTTCATACCATATGACTGGAAATAAGACTATTTTGCAAAATTATAAAACACATGATTCTAAGGAACATGAAGTAACCCTTGCTGATAACATGTTTACCAGTGCAGGTTTTGGTGATGTAAAACTTATGAATGACAATTATAGCCATATCTCAGATGTATTGCATGTACCGGAATTGTCTACAAATTTGTTGTCTGTAAACTCAATTGTAAATCAGGGTACAATTGTGTTATTCACCAAAGACTGTTGCAAGTTATATGATTCTGATGATTTTGAGGTAAGAGCCAAAGTTCTTGCCAAAGCATATCCCGAAAATGGGATTTATTGTTTAAATACCAAAGTTAACATGACCCAATAATCTGCAAATATAGCAACTAAAGATGAGATTAATACCAAAAAGAAAAATCACAAATGTGAAAAATCTTGTATTAATACTGTAAAGAATGAACAAGTTGCAAGTACCCAGCAAGTTGATGAACAACTGTTGTGGCATAGGCGTTTGGGGCATTTAAATTGGGTTAGCATGTGGTTGCTAAAAAAGGGTTTAGCTAGTGGCATCGATTTTCAAGAACAAGAAAATCCGTCAAAGAAATGTGTTCCATGTCTGGAAGGCAAAATGACAAAGAAGCCTTTCCTACAATCAAAGAACAAACGGTCAAAAAGAATACTTGATCTATTGCATTTAGATCTGGTTGGGCCATTTGAAGTACCCTCTTATGGGAATGCTAAATATTTTTTGACTATTGTGGATGATCATAGTAGAAAAATCTTCATTCGTTTCTTGAAACAAAAGGGTGACACATATGAAGCCTTTAAAGAATTTATGAAAATGATTGAGACAGAAACTGGATTGACAATAAAAGCCGTTCGTTCCGATAATGGTGAATTTTGTGGCAAATTATTCAGTGACATGTTAAAACAAAAGGGAATTCTCTGTGCCGTATAATACACAACAAAATGGAACTGCCGAAAGAGCTAATCGCAGCATTTTGGAAAAAACAAGATGTATGCTGTATGATTCCAGCTGCAACAAAAGATACTGGGCTGAAGCAGCTCAAACAGCCGTATATCTTTTAAATAGATCACCTCACAAGAAACTAAAGAATCAATTGCTTGAAGAAATATGGACATGCGAAAAGATTGATCTCTCCCATATAAAAATTTTTGGATACCCAGCGTATGCACATATACCATCACAGAAACGCCAAAAATTGGATGCTCTGAGCAAGAAATACATTTTTATGGGATATAGTGACGAAAGTAAAGCTTATTGGTTATCAGATCCCCGCAATCCATCTCAAATAATTGTGGCAAGAGATGTAGAATTTCTGGAAGAAGAAAGAAAGTAAGAAAGGATTTCAGCTTAAAGACATACTTCCAATGTCGTTAAATTTCAACCTTGACTCACAAGATGAAGCTATGATTCCGCATGAACAAAACCCTGAAGAAGAACAAGTACAAGATGAAGGAAATGAAGTTCCATTAGAGCCAGACGGTTTAAAACAATTACAAGGAAACTTGGAAGAAAGAAGATATCCACTTTGAAACAGGAAACAGAAAGAATTTCCAGATTTTGTTACCTACTCAGCCATGCATAAAGATGAGGAGTCAGAACCAGTCACATATGAAGAGGCACTGTCAAGCTCCGATAAATCTAAATGGAAAGAAGCTATTAAACAGGAGCTAGAAGCTTTCCAAACAAATCAAGCATGGACAATAGTGGATAGACCATCAAATAAGCCAGTAGTGAAATCAAAATGGGTCTTCAAAATTAAACGAGATGCTGAAGGAAATTTCGCATGTCACAGAGCACATTTGGTGGCGAAAGGTTGTAGCCAAACAGAAGGAATAGACTATTTTGAAACTTTCGCTCCCGTGGTGAAACATTCTTCAATGCGATTGTTATTTGCTTTAGCTGCAAAGCATGATTGGAACATTGACCACCTTGATGTCTGTACCGCATTTTTAAACGGAGATCTTGAAGAAGTTATATATATGGAGCTTCCTGAAGGATATGACATTAAGGGGGAGTCTAATAAAGTTTGCAAATTAAGAAAATCAGTTTATGGACTGAAACAAGCCACTAGGTCATGGAATAAGAAAGCAACAGAGGTTCTAAAAGGCCTAGGGTACAGGCAAACTTGTTCCGAACCATGTATTTATACCAAACAAAAGGGTAATTCTATAATTAATATAGCATTGTATGTTGATGACTTCTTCATATTTCACAATGACAATGTTGAAGTTGAGAATTTAAAAAGAAAATTGCAACAGTGTTTTAAAGTAAAGGATTTGGGACCAGTTAAGAAATGTTTAGGAATGGAAGTGAAAAGAGATAGGGCAAAGAAAACTATAAAGTTGACCCAAGCTCAATATTTGAATAATGTTCTTAAAAGATTTAATATTCCAAATGAGACTAAACCAGTTAGTCATCCAATGGAACCGAACAGCAAACTGAAACCGTCGCCTAAATCAAGAAAAGCAACTGAGAATTCAGATAACGTGCCATATCAACAGGCTACAGGATCATTAATGTATTTAGCCGTGTGCACGCGCCCAGATATATCCTTTGCTATGACTTACCTAAGTCAATTTAACACTTGTTACACAAGGGAACACTGGGTATTATTAAAAAGAGTTCTAAAATACCTAAACGCTACAAAGGATGTAGGTATTGTACACAGGAATTCTCAGATCAATGAATTAAGTATTTAAAATAAAAACTCCCAAATTGTTTAAGGGGGAGTGTTATGTTGGCAACTCTCAAATAACAAAAGTGAGGCTTCCAACTGGTCTGTGAAGTCCATGTTTGTCCCTAATGCTGATTTTATCAACCTGTGTGTTTGAAACAATTCATGTTACACATCATAAATGTCATTCAAATATATACTTCCAAGAATATGTGATACTTCTTGAATAAACCTCTAGATGATTCATTTCTCTCTCAATGTGTACCATAATTCTGATAACGTTCTCTGTAAAAAATACTTTATTGTTATCAAAATAATTTCTCGACAAAATTATTCCATGTGACATGACTCACAAAGGAAATTATGGAGTTTCAATACATATTTGTATATATACACTTTAATTTTTAGCCTACTTTCCTTATATTGAAAAAATAAAAAAAAAATTTATCACCTTGCTGACCGTATGTCTGTAACTCCCCATTAACTTCTGAATGTCTGAACCAATCTTTATGAAACTTTGTATATATCATGCCACCTAAGCCCATCTCAACAGTGTAATTCATAATCCCTCACATGAGAAATACCAATATTACAGCCATTCAAATGACTGAGGCAAAACCTTAATATTGCTTGAATACCTATACCAATATCTATAAACCTTGGTACATATAACATGTCACATGAAGCCATATCTACGGCATACTTTATAAATCTCTTTGATCAGTAGTACCAACGTTACAGCCTGTCAAATTGTAGTGGTAGTAACCACAATGTTACTTAAATGCCTGAACCAATCATCACGGAACTTCGTATGTGTATCATGCCACCTGAGCCCATTTCAATGGCATATATCATAAATACCTCACACTAGTAATATTAATATTACAACATTTCAGACTGCTGAGGTAAAACCTTAATATTCCTTGAATGCTTGTACCAGTGTTCATAAAACTTTGTATATCATGACACCTAAGCCCATTCCAACAGCGCACTTTTTAAACCTCTTTCCATCAGTAACACCAACATTATAGCAAACTTTCAACAGACTACATAGTGCTATATCCCCGCGCACACAACTCTTCATAACCACTGCTGTGAGAGCCTCAAATCCTACATTTTATGTTCTTCGGCAGGTTGTGATTCAGAACATCAAGACACTGGACAGCAATGTGAAGAAGACATCACACTTCAGTGTCACAGTATAAGAATACAAAAATTGTTTCAAACTTAGTAAATCATAAGAACAATTCTCAAACTAGGAAGGTGCCATTCCTTTGCCACCAGCCATGACAAAGGTCCCTGTGATACTGGAGTTTCAGAACAAAAGAGCAGGCAACCAGAGCAATTCCTCAACATCCTTATGATAAGTAAACACAGACACCCAAAGACCTACAAGGAAAACATTCATGGAATAAAACATTTTCACATGACTTAGGCAGATATAATATAAATTGAAACAGTGTTGTATCCAACTCTTTAATGAGCCATCACAACACAACAAATAGTAAAACATCAAAGTCAGCGTTCACCTGTGGCTTTGCTACATGTTTCGGCCACTATCGGCCATCATCAGGCAAACACATATCAACAAAAATCTACCATTTAACTGCAATCATAAAATGGATATAACACTATTAATCGTACAAATTTAAAAATGCTCACGTAAAATATACAAAAGTTCAGATTATATAAAAATTAAAAATTGGAAGTATTATAACAAGATATAATATTAATGATGTTTTCAAAAACATTGAATCAGTCGTTTGATATGCTTTGTGTGCGTTTCCATAGACAATAGGGAAACTTGATATTACTTTATACAGAAGATTTTCAGAGAGGCCCATGGTGTTGTATCCTGAAGGATGGTGATGGGGTACTTGCGTAGACCGAATGGGCAGTCTCTTGTCTGGGATCATTTGGACACCTCAGAATTGAAATTCACATCTTCAGAAGTCAAGAGTGAGGACAATTAGATATATGTATTATATGAATTGGATAAGTACATTACAACAGAATATTAACACTTATGGATAATGATTATATGGGCTGACATATATGCACTATGCACCACTTCCATATGAATAGTTAGTAGAAGGTGGCCTAGTACAAGATGTTGAGTATAACACTCGAAGCCAAAATAACTCCCACAATACACACAAAGTGCATGTAACTACAGTGGGGAATGTAAATGATCAGACAAGGAACCTGACTGAACTGTAGTAGTCAAAAGTCTAGCATGTTCTCTCCAATGGCTAACATGACCTAAATTTTTCCACAGGATTCAAATCCCAAGCTTTGGACACGGACAATTAAAGACACACCTACCAGGGGCATAACTAGCTTCAAGACTGATATGTGATTCATCATCTTTAATGAGGAGTATTACCATTCAGCTGTAAGGAGTATTAGATGGTCATAGGAATTCTAAGGGGACTTGAGGTCTCAAGGCGAGAACACCTGCAGGAAATTTCTGTACACATGTTTCTCACTAAAATGAGGGTGAACCTCAAATGCTGTATTCACAGAGTAAAAGGAAGTGTAGGCTGCCCAGTTCCGGAAACGGACACCTTGGAATAAGCTAGTAGGGTTGCCCATGGTGCGTGGTACATGCTCATGTCCTATAAAAGTAAGAAAGGGTTGAATACATATTACAACAGTTAAAGGAACATATCACTAATTGTATATGGATTCCATATACTCAGAGAAACAACTGCCACATACTATTAAATTGGAACACAATGACAGTTTTTTTCCAGTTTCTGATTCAAGTATATTCTTCAATACATGTCTCAAGGCACTATTCAGTACCTCTTGCATGCAGTGACATCACCTGGTACAGCTATCTTGCTTGCACATATGGTGAGAAGTAGTGGACTGGTGCTGTGATGGAGAAAAAATTATGACAGTAGTGACCGACTTGTCAAATTCATGCATCCTAAAAGCAAATCACCATCCTTCCACTGGCAACAGAAGGATCACAGCTGGGTTGAAATGGAAAGCATATTTAAAAAAAATACCACTGACAACAACAACAAGACATTACATCCTCCATGAAAGGATGAAGAACATAACCAAACTGTTCTAGGAAAAATAAAGAAATAAATGGTCATTGGATAACAGGTTTGCATATTCTCATGCATGGTATGCAAAGATAATGCAACATGAAACCCTGTTTGAGAGTTTTATACTGCGATAATGTGAAATATGACCAAATGTGCACCATCATAGTCAGTCATTACTTCAACCAAGGATTAAAAAAACAGTGACTGCCATCTCTTTAAATTTTCTCTTGATTGTCTTTTCCCAACAAATATTATCTAAGTGGAAGTTGTATGACCTTTTCAGGAGTAATCTGATCAAGTATGCCTTCTTACACTTTGAAAACTCAAATTATAAAGAAGTTTTACATGCTTCATATGTGAATTCCATATGATTTCAGTTTCATCCAGACATCTCGATTAGTTTTAAAGATACACTGTTCTGTATCATCTAATGCTTCTGTGATGTGAAAACAGCATCACACAAACGTCTCATTCTCGGTCTTCAAAATCAACGAGGGACTGAATACTTTGAACATTTACCTATGTCACACCAACCTATGGTTATATGAAGATTCATTTGAATAAAAAATTCATCTACCACGGGCATATAGGTGAATCTGTTGAACTGGCATGGAATACCGGAAATATGTTCAGTTTAAGGTTACACACTTTAATGGGGAAAATATTTCTGTACTTCAGTCATCCAGCTCATAGCCAGTCGCTATACTGACTATGCTATCCTGGCTCGTAGAGAGTTAGAAATACATTAATACATGTATTACATATGAACTTCACAGTGTAAAAGGTTACATGAGGAATATTAGTGTTAATATTTTTCACCTGGGAAATGAAACAAGGTCTACAGAATTGTGGGGAAACATGGTGGGGAGAGAAGACACAGGAAAACCAAGCACAATAATGAAATACCACATTATAATTATTCTTCTAGAATACATTGCAGTTATGTGCAACGGACTCAGCTGTCTCAGGTGGAGTGAAATGGTTTTTGAAGCTTATATTTTTGTGATGACCCTCCAATTCTGCAATGCCAGGAATCTGTCAGGTTTATAAAATATCTTACCTGGGCGGTGGCTTATAGACCAAATCAAGTTTCTCCAACAGCCATTCAAAACGTTTGTAATCCCAACATCTCAGATACTTCAGCCATTTCTTACGAAGATCAATGAGCTCCTTAAGCTGAACTTTGCAGCGCTTGTCCCTCGGAAATCCTTCCATTACTTGCTGCAGATTTCGTATAGCTGCGGTCATTTGTGCAACTGAGAACACCAAATGTTCCTCTGTATTTTACATCCTTAAACATGTGATGGTCTCATGAATACAATATATGCAGCATGTATCCAGGAGATGTAACATCAGATTAGTTATTGACAGTTTAAATACCAAATGACAGAATAATATAACCCAGTGCTTCATTCCTGGCTATATAAAATTAAATTTTATAAAATATAAGCAACTACTGTTGTTCTTTCAGAAATACTGTTGTGTAGACTGTCCTCACTGTATATATCATGTATCCTATATATGACACACAACAGGCTGCATGCTATGAAGACAGTACCTGTAACGTTAAACCCAACTCAAATTCTGGTTACCATCCCCAGAGTGTGGGGAGATTTAAAGTCCCCTATTTCCCTACCATAAAGGTTAAAGGAATAACATTTTAAAAACTCAAATAATTACTGTACTTAACAATGACATGGTGGCAAGCAGAAAACATAGTATACTGACAATGAGGCTTATTTAACTTACTCCTGCTTTCAGCAGATCCCACATCTAATGCATGTCTTCTGACACTGCTGATCATGTCATAACTCAGAATTCTCATTGAATGACTTCTTGGAAAGAATTCAAGAGAAAATACTCTCTTCACAAGTTTGTCAGCTCTGAAACACATTAATCTGAACAGTAATAGAATGTGGAAAAGAACTGCTCTAATCACTGCAGCTCTTAAAGTATCTATATCTTTATTTTAAATCCATAGATCCTTACTGGCTACAAAAGCCATCACATATAGAACATGTTACACATGAATACATTAGTTCTATACACTGAACTAGTCATTTTACAACTACAGCGAGATCAAAAAGTCGCTCACATCAAACTAAAAGTTGTTATAAATTGTATTGCAGTTAATTAAACAAAACGAAACTAGGAAGCTATACATGTCAGTTATAAAAAAATTAATGATATCAACAACAGACAACTGGATGCTGAGATAAAGATGGGATTATAGTGGCAAACCCAACAGAAGTCCAAACAAGGTGGAAAGAATATGTGGGGTTTTGCCTTTGTTGTTCGTCATTACTCCGATGACAACCCACTTCTTCGGAAAAGTTTGTTGGTCCTGAAAAGGACCGTGTTTGCTGAGATGCTTGACCGGTGAGGTAACGCGGCGCGCGCCGGTAGGGAGAGAGGTTAGTTGCGGTGATTTGACTGGCCACAGCGCGGCCGTTGCTGGAGGTTGCTTGATCGCCATGCGGCAGGTGAGTCGAAGTAAGTCATGAGGTGGGAACATTACCCCTAGACTACGGAGGTCGCTTATACCACACATGTTAGTTATATACCTACCTTACCTCAGAGCAAATGGACTCTCCCTTCCCACATCACGCGCATGCGCAGTGACGAGAAGAACAGAGCCTCGTGTTAGCTGGCGGTCTAATGTAGTGTTGTCACGATGTTTTCGAAACAGGAGCAATGAAGTTCGATAAAGATTCAATCTGCCAGAAGCTGTACAGCATGGCAGTGTCATCAAGGTCTTCAAGAGGCTTGCGGAGAATCTGCATTGCCTTACAGAACAGTGGCAAGGTGGGTAAAAGCCTTCAACAAGGGACGCCAAAATGTGGCAGACATGCATCGGCCAGGTTGTCCTAGTGTCAGTGAAGAAGTGTATGCTCTTTCCGCATTACTGGAGAGTGATCGACCCATACGATTCGTGACCTGGCCCAAGAGACAGGATTAGCACACACGACTGTGCTTCACATTCTGAAGGAATGCCCGGGTATGAGAAAAACTGAAATGCAGAAATGGCTATGATATGATGCTCCTCGTAACCACTTGGAGCACTGAGCGTGAAGGAGAGGCCATACAATTATGCTGGATGAGACATGCGCCAAATCATACGAGCCACAAATGAAATGCCAATCAAAAGAATGGTGTCATTACAGGTCACCATGAAAATCAGAAGTTTGTCAGAACCCCAACAATGTGAAAGCTATGGTGATTCTTGTGTATGACTGTGATGGTGTTATCCTAAAGCATACTGTTCCCTGACAGCAGACCATCAATGCACATTATTACTGTTCACTTTTGGAACACAACCTGTGACCAGCTTTGAGAAAGAAGTGCCAACACTTTCTGCACAACCCACCCATCATTTTGCAGGACAATGCTCAGCTGCATGCAGTGCAAGCTGTGGCTGATTTGTTCGATCGATGGGACTGGGAAGTGCTGTACCATCCACCATACTCCCCAGACTTAAGCCCTTGTGACTTCGACTTGATTCCTAAGATGAAGGAACCACTTCGTGCATTCGCTTCAGAATGGTTCCAGAGATTCTTCAGGCAGCAGACCACTCCATTTGAACTATCAACACAACAGGCACTGCTAAAGGTATCCTACGACTTCCACATTGCTGGCAACGAGTTGTACACAATGCTGGTAACTACACTGAAGGACAGTAAAACTTCGAAACATGTATCTATTTTATATCAGTTGTAAATAAACAGTTGCCACTATTAAAGTTCCAACCCTCGTAAATGACTATAGGAAAGCATGAATTTGTAATATGTGACATATTTTATATCCAGCCCTAGGGTGAAAGGATTGGATCGATGAAATGAAAATAAATGTAAATGTAAATGACCATAAGAAAGCGTTCAATAATGTACGAAGGAATAAATTAACACAAGCGATGCATGAAATGGGACGGTGGCAAAACTCTTTAACTTAACAGTGATGAAACTACATGGACCATGTGCTAAGGGGAAGTTAGGAAATGAGACTGGAGAAAAGTTCAGATAATACAGTGGTGTTAAGCAAGGTGATGGTCTGTCAACCACATTATTTAACATTGTATTACAGACCACAATCAAAAAGGTGACAAAAGGGGCAACATATTCACAAAACTAAGTCAAATTTGTGCATATGCTGATGTAATAATTATGATCAGAACAAAAAATGAATTGCAGAGAGTATATCCGGCTTTAGAAAAGGAAGCTAATCAGCTTAGCCTTTTTACAAACAAAAACAAAGTACATGCATCTTAATACAACTACACATGCAAATATTAGGGAGAGGAAGTTATGTAATGGAAACAAAAAATCTGAAATGGTACAGAAGTTTATATATTTAGGTGCAGTAATAGATGAGAAAAATGACATAACACACAACATACAACAAATACAATCCGACAATAAGGCATATTATGCCAACCTACAATTACTAAAATCTAAGGATATAAACAGGAATATGAAAATATATAAAACATTAATATATCCTGTAGTAACATATGGCATAAGACATGAGTGTTAAAGAAAGAGGATGAAATTAATTTAAGAAGATTTGAAAGAAAAATTACTAGGAAAATATATGGGCCAATAAAACAAGAAGAACAATGGAGATTTACAAGGTGGTTCAAATATGACCGGGACTGATTTTTTTTTTAAAAACGATTATTGCCAAACACTTACTTGCCCATGTCAGTCTTCAATGTACTCCCCTCCGGAGTCAACACATTTTTTCCAACGTTCTGGAAGCATCCTGATGCCCTTTCCAAAAAAGGCTTGTGGTTGGCGGTGTATCCACTCCCAAACAGTCTGGATGACGGCGCCATTGTCCACAAACCGCACGCATTGCAAGTCTGATTTGAGCCCTCCGAACAGGTAGAAATCACTTGGGGCCAAATCGGCACTGTATGGCAGATGTGTCAGAAGGTTCCATTTCAATTTCTAGAGGGTTTCCATTGTTGTTTTGGCAGTACGGGGGCGTGCATTGTCTTGAAGGAAGGCTACCCGCTTTCCACCTGTCTTCCGCTTGGATCGGATCATTTCTTTCACGTCTGTTGCCAGGAGGTCTGAGTAATAAGCTGCACTGACTGTTCTGGCAACTGTCAGATAATCTACATTGATAACCCCCTGACAGTCTCAGAAGAACATTGCCATCACTCTTCCTGCCGAACGGCTCCTCTGTGCTCTCTTGGGTTTGGGAGAACTGGTATGCCGCCACTCATGTGATGACTGCTGGGACCCGGGAATGAAGTAGTGCACCCACGTTTCATTGGTGGTCACTATAGACTTAAAAAATACATCACCTTCTTCAAACTGCTGTAGGAGACGACTGGCAGCTTGCATGCGCGCCATTTTGTTCACATCCGTCAAAAGTGCGTGGTACCCACCATGCATTCACCTTGCGATAGTGCAGATTGTATTTCATGATGTCTTCTACACTACCAACACTGATGGACAGCACTGCTTCAAGTTCCTTGATAGTGATGTGCCTATTCTCACGAATATGCACATAGGCACGATCAGTGTTTGGCTCGGTGATGGATGTTCGCAGCTGACGATAATGCGGTTCATTCTCCACGTGCTCTCTGCCCTCTCTGAAGCACTTACACCACTGTAACACACGAGTCCATGACACACTCTTCCCCATACTGTTGTTGGAGTCTGTGGTGAATTTTAGTGGACGGGATGTTTTCTCCGAGGAATTTGATCACAATGTGTTGTTCCACGCTCCATGGTACCTTCTGTTCACTCATCATGCTAGCAACTCCCAAACAGGACTGAACAGGTTCTAAACCGAACAGGATGGAGGGTGGAAGTTGTACCTTCACTCTCTCAAGGTCGCACAGCTGCGGCGCAGTGCACCTTATTTACACACAAATCAGTCCCGGTCATATTTGAAACACCTTGTAGAAACAATGAAGAAACAGATTAGATACTGAAGAAAGAATATATAGTAGTTAGATTTATAATGGCAAGAAGAATCAACTGGCTGGGACATGTAGAAAGAATGGATGCTAACAGAATGCCGTGGTAAAACTTGCATAAGAAGATCTACACTAGAAGAGTAAGAGGAAGGCCAATAGTGAGCTGGTTTGATGATGTCAAAGAAGACCTTAGGAAACTGAAAGTTAAAGATTGGAGATCCACTGCAATGCACAGAGATACTTGCAGGCTGTTGGTGCAGGAAGCCAAGGCCCACAAAGGACTGTAGAGCCAGTTGGTATGGTATGGTATGGTATGGTATGGTATGTTATGTTATGCTAACAACATGAACTCCAAGTTCTTCGCATAATTTACACTACCATAGGATGTGGGTCCCCACCAATGGTGTCTCCAATGTGGCGGTGGAGATTTGAATGCTCCTGACCCGAGAGATATGCCGGCAGTAGTGGATCTACTGGTAGGGTCACCCATTCAGGACAAGTCAAGAGGAAAAATTGAGACAAAAGAGGGACACCCTGGTCCTCCAGGATGGGGATTGGGCATGAGACTAACGACCTCACACTGCAAAAAACTGAATTGTTCAGAAACCAGATAGTCATCCTCAGAAAGTTGAAGAATAGAGAAGAATGGAGGCAGATTGTCCAGGAGGCCAAAAGCTCACCATGAGCTGTAGCGCCAAGGGGGAAGGAAAGGATAGAATGTGGTTTATAGTTTCTTTGGCCTCACCACATTCACATATTTCTGCAGTAATAATATTAAATCAAATAAAGCAATCTCCTGGAGAACAATGGCCATTTCTTTTTTGTTTATTGAGAAGACAGATTTTCTTCAAAACTTGAATTTCTGGAACCAGAGTTTTCTGTTGTTTTGGTAGTACACTCAACTCTTGATTATCCGGGGGCAGATAAACCGGTTTGCGGCTTAACCGGGGTTTTTTAGGCTTATATGTTATTTAATATTCACTGACTTTTGTTTCACATGGTGAGTTGGAACAATATTTTCGCACTAGTGTGAACCGAGCTCTGCATTTTTTGGTACCGTTATGCTAACACAAAGTTCTAGGGTAGGGGTGAAAGAATGCAAGGATTTGTGGAAAGTTCCAAGAACAGATACACCGACCCAGTTAGTCTCTTTGTATCAATCTTCAAGTGCGTTAGCAAAATGTCAGGGTGTAAAAGGAAGGGTGTTGTGTTAAGTATTCAACAGAAACCTGAAATTATCAATCAGTCAGGAAAAAGAGGTGTAGTTAAAGAATTACATTTCAACAGCGTGGGATACAGTAAAGCCATCTGTATTGAAAAATTCAAGCAAGAAACTGATGCCTTTCATCACTAATGAAGATGGTGCTGCTCTTAATCATTTGGAATCCTTACTAGACTATCTTGAGAGTGAAGAGAACAGTTTATTAAACGACAAGCTAATATTACGTAGGCTTCGTATGGATATCTGTAAAAAGGAAAATGCCATGAAAAAGAAAACAACAATATTAAATTTTTTTAAGTGTTAAGTGTGAATATTCGTAAAAAGTGTTGGATGTTGTTGAACAGTGTGATTGAAATACCTAATTCATATTTCAGTGTAATGTAAAAAAGTATTAAATAGGCCAAGAGATGACATAAAAATGAGGTTGAATAAATTTAAATACAGGTAGGCATATAGTATTATGAAGGTACACTATTACAGTACTACTTTTTATAAAATTTGTCTTAACCGGGTTTTCAATTAATCATGATTTCCATTCCCACCATTATCCAGGATAATCGAGAGTTGAGTGTACTTCTCAGGGTACTTCCTTCATGTTTTCTTAATTCTCTTTACCGTTCCTTGGCCATGACTCTCAATTTGATCTCGGAGTCACTGGTGTCAACTACCTCATTATTAAAAACAGTGGTAAATAGTTCATGTGTTACAGTACATTCTGCTAACAAACTGGCTACAATGCTTGTCTTGTGTCTAGTACACAGACCTTTCATAACCAGTCTCATCTGATGTGCACTGATTTATTCACTAAGCAGCCTAGAAGGGGTTCCCAACTTTCATTCCTCCCATTCCTTTTTTTTTTAAGTATGTTACTTAACAATGCTGTCTAGCGTTCAGGCTATACAGCATTGATGACAGGGTGATTAATGATTGTGTTGAAGTTCGCAGAATGAAAATTGGCAGGAGACCTACGTCTAGATGAAAACCCTCCCAATTACATTGTCCACCACATTACATGACCTGCGATTGAAGCAATGACTGGAAGCCTGCGACCAACCGCCTCAGCTACGGCACGACCCGTCTGCCTCTCTCTCTATCGGTTATTATACCATTAACAAAACTGCTATTGTAACAAATTTCAATAGATAATGTTAAAGACTTAAATCGGCACCCTAATTCCGCTAGCACAAAGATTTCAATTAAGTTTTACTTACGTTTTGAGTTCCTCCGAATTCTGGAACTCCAGTGGATATTGTTTCTTATCAACTGGCGGAAGTGAGGCCAAATCTCCGCTCTTTTCTGGTTTAATACAGGGAATTTTTGGTGGACGTACCCATTTTATTTTAAGGTCTGACTTGAAGGCGTAATTACGAATTATTTGACAAAAATATGAATTATAGCAGGGCCAGTTGTGTCTTCTGAACCTAATGCACCTGTTTGGATACATTTTTACATACAAAAAATCGTCCTTGATATTATATTTGCGATTTTTCCATTCCTATCCACATGCAGCTACGACTTCGTTAGACACTACTTCTCCTAACGATCCCACCCTGTTCACCACAATTCACTTCCGTTGTGTAACACAGATGACCTCAGATATAAACGAGTATAATCACTGATTACAGTATTATTTAAAGATGGTCTTCACTGTACGACATTTTATGAAATTTGAGATTCTCGCAGCGGTGGTTACGTAGAATCTGGAATCTAACGCCATTGAAAATCAGCTGACGTTTCGGAGTAACATGTCGCCTCATCTTCAGGGTCGAAGATTGAGCCAAGCAAGAAACTAGCGCGAAAGTTGATGGCAAGCAGAGTTATTTTTTAATTTCTATGATATAATACTGACTGCAAACGAAGAACTAAATTGCTCCCATATGCTGACAAATTTAACACATACTGTGTGCAGACTCTACACGGATCACCGAATAATATTGACAAAAGATAGAGTACACTGCACGTAAGGGCATCCGTGTCCGTGACCCAGTCCGTAGTAACGGTAGTAACCGTGTGGTGTGGAGGATGGGTACACAGGTTTTGACCGTTTGGGAGGAAGTTTGTGTGCCCACTTTCAACTGGGAAGACGAAGACAGGATTCGTACAGTGGTCCGTTGTGGTCTTTTGAATTATGACGTAATAGATGAATGCCTGTGCTTTTGAAGGAACCAACACCTAATTCCACCTTGTTAAGCTGAAGGCAGACGTAGTACCCACATACTGGACTACACCATACCTTTACCATCATGAAAGTCCCAGGTGGTGCACAAATTGTACCCGTATGGAACGTCCTTCAAGTATGCACAAAATGAACACTGGCTGTATATTAAGCATGTTCTGAAATTCTGTACAATGCAGATTTAGTAAAGCAGCCTAGATCCTGTCTAACTTGTGAACATCTTACACAGTCACTACATGGAAAATAAAAGTCTTAATATAATGACGTAAATGGGGCATGGAAGTAAAGCTCCACAGACGAGTTCACACTCGGACCACTTTGACTATGGTACAAGCGAAGGTTCAATAAACTCATAAAATACTGAACTTTGACAGCCACATTAAACCAGAATAAATACAGTCAGTATACATAAAACGCGTATAATAAAGTCATAGACTGAACTTGCACTAAATAAGGAATTAAAAAAGCCTTCTTTCATATAAAATGGATTTTTGGTCCTATAGACATAATATTATTAGTTGTTTTATTCTGTAAAGAGTAGTTTTAATATAGAGTACAAGCATGGAATTTTACCGATATTACCTCTAAGTTACCCATCATCACAATGTTCATAACTGTAGGCTTACCAAGTTTTGATAAAATACCAGGTTGTTTACAAAATTGAAAGGGGTAGCACAGCAGATACAAGTTTTACTTTCATGGCACAAGAATCACCTTAGGTGATCAGCACATAAATTCATGAAGAAGTCCAGTCTTTAGGGACCTTTTCAGGCAGATAGTCCCTAACAATGGTAACAGAAACGGTCTCAAAATGTTGAAATTTTGCTACAAATTTATGTGGCTGGTCACCCAAGATTTTGATTTCATATATAGGCGTAGTGCAGGAACCCAGTGCAGAAGAGGCTGGCAACAATCAAAGCAGTTCCCAGTGTTTCTGCTGAGAATCAAATCCTGGCCACATAGACCATAGCTATGCTGCTGGTAACCCAGCTGTCACAGCTATCTTGTAATATATAAAGCACAATGAATTAAGAATTTGTGTTATTCATATTTTGCTCTACTATAATTAGATTTGTTTATAACAGTAGATTGAGTCAACATCTACAAGTCAATAATATTCTGGTGCAGGAACAATTTGGCTTTAGGAAAAATTTCTCAACAGACCATGCTACTTTTTCTTTTACGACTGGCATACTTCAGGCCTGGAATGACAAACTGCAGGGATTTTTTGTGACCTTGCTAAGGCTTTTGACTGTGTTAATTATGAGATATTGACATCTAAACTAGAGTATTATGGTGTCCGGGGTTGTATATTAAATTGGTTAACAGAGTGTGTACATTAAAACTAATGATGGTCAGGACTATTTTTCATCTTGGGAAAGAATTAAGGGGTTCCTCAGGGGTCGGTTTTGGGACCACTTCTGTTTATTATTTACATTAATGATTTGCCTCCATATATTAATAAACTGGCTAAAGTTTTTCTTTTTGCTGATGATACCAGTGTTTTGGTTACTGGTAATAGTCATGCTAAGCTTAAGCATAAAGTCATGAGTACACTGTCTCTTATTGTAAATTGGTTCACAGCTAATAAGTTAGCCTTAAATATTAGATTTGCTCTAAAACAGTCTTATAAGTCTCTATAAGTTGCTAGCAGGAATTTGTTTATGAAGTTCCTGTGATAAATTTTTTGGGTCTGCAAATTGATAAGAATTTGTATTGGAAGAGTCATGTAGAGTATATTCTCCCTAAACTTAGTTCAGCTATTTTTGTAATTAGGAGTTTATCTTATTTTATGAGTAAAAAATTTTTACAAATGGTGTAGTTTTCTTATTTCCACTCTGTTCCTAAGTACGGAATAATTTTCTGGGGCAACTCAACGAATAATGTTAAGAGTTTTTAAATTACAAAAAAAGTAATAAGGATTATATCTGGAGTGGGACCTAGAGACTCATGTAGGGATCTTTAAGAAATTGAATATACTGCCATTGTCATGTGAATACATTCTCTCATTGATGATGTTTGTGATTGATAATAATCAAACTAAATTTTGTTCAGGTTTAGATGTTCATGGTTTGAATACAAGAAATTGAAAGCAATTATATTTGCCAAACTTGAATCTTTCTGCTTTTCAGAAAGGTACTATGTTTACTGCTATTAAACTATTCAACAGATTGCCCATAACCATTCAAAGCCTTAAAGAGGATAGAATTAGTTTTAAAAATAAGCTGTCTTTATATCTGATGAATAATTCGTTTTATACAGTTTCTGAATATGTGGAGCATAACATAAACAATTAGTTTTAATTATTCTCTTATCTGTGTGTTTGTTTAAATTTTTTGTATGACGACCTTCATGTCCATTTGTTTTGGACTTATGAAACGAAATGAAATGTATGTATGTATAACATTTGGGAGATCAGGTGTGATGAAAAGTGGTTGACTGAATCTGTGTTAACAACATTAGAAACAAAGCTGTCTCTCTACATACATGCATACACTCGTATATATATATTTTGTGACGTGACGGCGCAACGCTCAGACATCCCATATCTGACAGTAGTAACAGTTTTGAAAATAATAAATGTAACATAGCCTGATGATGATCAAAAGCTCAGAACATGTCACTTTATTAAAACATAGTGTAACAAAGTACACATGTGGGCTGTGTACACAAAATATTTTATATATATATATATATATATATATGTGTGTGTGTGTGTGAGAGAGAGAGAGAAAGAAAACATGATGCTCAGACACAGTATTAGAAACTAAATCAAGCCTACTTTATTGGCCAAAAACGTGTGAATTTTTAAAGTGTTGTAAGCTTTTATGAATAAAATTAATTCCACTACCTGAATGTTTTAAGAACTGTGGTTCAAGAGGAATATTCGTAAAGAAAATTTGGGTTATCAACTTTGGTCAGTTATCAGATGTTTCAGAATGTACATTCAGGAGGACAAAAGACTTAAAAGAGGTGGTGACTTTCATTATATGCAGTTCTGAAAAACTTTCCTTTAAGTTGTTCTGAATTTGATGTCCATATATTTCATAGTAGTGTCCCATATGAACAGTTTTCACATAAACATAATACAAGAAAACACTTCTATTTGTTTAATACTATTGTTCTTTGTGAAGTTTCAAGTGAATGTACAGGTTAATGCTGAGGCTGATTCGTCTGTGAAATTCTGATTAATCATTTACCTGCCTCTGTAAATGAAGCATCTTCTAATGAATATTTTGAAAGAAAACCTGTAGAAAAATAAAGCAAAAAGATTATGTGAGTATCTTCCAATGAGTATGGTCACTTTCAAGTACTTGTCTTTTCACGTTGTACATGTATTCAAATATCTCTGCCATGCCTACAGATATTGCAACAAATAATTTTCCAAAAGTCCTTTTAGAAGATCTTTAATTTTGGGTACAAGCAAGTATTGTGGATGTTTCCAAACACTGATACTTGTGCCTTGACAAAAAAAATGCTTTACTAGTAGTAGTGTGTGTGTGCGAAAGCACTAAAAACTGAAGGAAGAATGATTGTTTGTTTGTTTTGCAGAAACAGATTCATAATGAATAATTCCTGACAAAAGGGGGGGGGACAAAAAAAAGACCAGAACGTTTTTGACCTCAGACTTTTATATCAGTGCTTTGTTTGGGCCTAGTTATTAGACTTTTCCAATGGAGTTCACATTTTGCTTTCTGATGATACTGAAAAACCCAAATCCCATCATCATTGGTCACTATACATATTTAAGAAAATACAACGAAAAAATTTTCTAGACAGTATAAATAGCTTTGCAACACAAAGGAACTGAATGTTGGCTTTCATCTCCTCCTTTTTCTGTCGTTGAAACTATGCAGTTATATATTTAATTATATGATTTTGATAATTTAAGTTTTAATGAAAAGATGGCAGAAGTTTAGTATGATTCACTGTATATATAATATTCATTCAGACTTTCCAAGATACAAATATCATGTCATGATTGGTAATAGAATTTAGCAACTAAAAGGAAAATTAGAGATCATCAGAAATATAAATGTGAGGCATTAAAGATTTGCATCTGCAATAAATGAACATAAAGGCCAGTAAGGTACATAAAATGGCAACAATAAAATTTGGAAAATTAATGTACCCCTAACTGCAGTAACATAAATGCATTCTCTGCACTAAATGCATAGAATGAGTGCAACATGATCATTATCTTTGTTTTTAATCTCTGAAACTGCAAAGTAAATACAGATCATGTTTGGTAATGACTGGGTATACAAAACAATTTATCAGATAAATTTCATTTCTATACATGCCAATCAGTTACAGCCAGTTCTCATTGTGAAGTGTAATGAACTTCATTGTGTTCCTGAAAAATGATGCATGACATGAAAGTAGGTATCATCAGAATATGACTTCTGTTTAAAACATTCTTTGATATAGTAAATATTTAATGAAATATAAGGACAAATTATTTCTGACTGTGTACAGTACATCTGTGGTGTGATTAACTTTACTACTATAGAATTATGCCTGAAATAAATTAACATCGGGGCCGATGAGGTATGCAACGTGGCAAAAAATATGTGTTATTTACTGCAGTACATTTTTTCATGCTTTTTATTCCTGAGAAAGCATTCTCAATATACATAGGGCACCTGGTCAGTCCTAGTCATTCTGGATATGACACTGTAATTTCAATTGGTATAGAGCATTGTGCCATGTTTACATTTAAAACAGATGGAACGCATATCTGAGTGATATTCATAAAATCAAATTTTCATGGATACCTTCATTATACCGTTTTTATTCACGTATTCACTGCTGTCTCACATGCAACTCATACTAGAAGTTTTGAAATTCAAATTTTAAAATTTTTGAACTCCCAGCTGTTTCAAGTTGTATGTCTTTAGTTAACAAGTCTATTGCAGAACATGTTTCAGCGTATTTGGCCATCATCAGATGCATTAAAATAATTGGAGAAATTGCTGCGTTTTTGTACATAACTTAACTTGTGTCAATATGTTTTCCTAATTTTATGACTTAATTTTAAAATCCTAAATATAATTTCGTATATGTACAGCATGTGTTGTAGACTGGTACTTTTTGTGGCTTATCATCTACATAATGGAAAGAAACACATACATTGCACAACACATGCTGATGCATAAATGAAATTACACTTCAGACTTCCAAATTATATTTGGAAAAAGTATCAACATGAGTTATAAAAGCATACAAAAATGCACCCATTTCTCCAATAATTTTAATGCATCTGATGACAGATAAATAATCTGAAACATGTTGCGCAACAGACATAGAACTTTAAACATCCAAGAGGTTTAAAATTTAACAATTTGAATTTTAAAACCTTTAGTGTGAGTTTCATGTGAGATAGCAGTGAATACAAGAATAAAAAGTGCAGACAGTGCAACAAGATGCTATAAAACAGCATTCATTACACCAATATATTGGTCATTGTCCATTGTCTGAGGTATATTTGAATTACACATGATACTGAAAGCTGGTTCTACTCTCATTTTCACATTACTGGTTGCCATTATACTAAAAGACATAAGTCTGCTTTTATTTTAAGATTAGTTGTGTTGGTTGGGATTGTGCCAGACATGCTTTAATACTGTGTAAGATTTGAGGCTTTCACGGCACCACATATACACGGTGCCAAATCCCAGAAGACTGCTTTCTTCATGCTTTAATACTATTCTATATCAACATGCTAACCTTCACTGTTACAGATAATGAATAATACTTGGAAATTACAATCTCATATTACTGCTCTCACACCACGTGGTCTATAGTTGCAATGATACTGATTCAGAAATACATTCCCTTAGAAACAATGTATTTATTTTATTTGTTTAAAACAGCACATGGGAAGAACAAGATCAGTGATTCAGATACATCCGTCAGACAATTTGAAAACAAAGAACAAACATTCTGTTTACATTAACTTGTAGATCTTAATATGTGTATTTAACAGTAATGAACAGTGCTGTGTACAGCTGATGGTTGGATCTCAACGCTGAACACTGCTTAGTCCACAATATCCTCCACAACTGCTCGACTGAAGTTTGATC